GTCCTGGCCCCGCCCCTGGCGTTCCCAGCCCCTTCAGAGGAAGGTGCCCGGATGTTGGTGTGGACAAGCAGCCGCCCCGCCCCCAGGGGTCATCCTCCTGCCTCGGACTTGGGTGCTTTGACTTCCGAGGGCTGCGGTGTCCTCCAGGATGCCACCTTTCTCACAGGTTGCAAGACACCGCTGCAGTCCTTCCTGGGAATTGCCGAGCAGCATGGGGGCCCCCAAAACGGGGTGAGTGTGGGCCAGGGCGGGGCGCTGGTGGAAAGGTACGGATGTGGCTCGGGAGAAGGCCCGGAAGGTGTCCTCTTGGCATGCCTGTGAGGACCTCTCCCACGATGCCCAAAAACTCAGTGGCAGTGGGGGTGGCTCCAGGCCTGGGATACAAACGGCTGGGCTGGCATCCAGGGCTGAGAAGGACTCACGGGCCCTCCCCGTGCGGTGCAGACCCTCATCACCCAGACTCTGAGCCGAGCCAACCCCACTGCCATCACCGCGGACGAGTACTTCAACCCCAACTTTGAGCTTGGCAACCGTGACATGGGCCGCCCCATGGAACTGACCACCAAGACACAGAAGTGAGGCCCCCGGCTGGCACTAGGGGGGGTGGGCAGGGCAGGATGGGGGGGGGGGCAGGGGCTTTCTGGAGCATCAGGTTCCAGGAGCATCATTTCTACAATGTCCCTCATCCCTTGGGACCCTGGGGGGGCAGGTTCAAGGCCAAGCTGTGGCTTTGTGAGGAGCACCCCCTGTCCCTGTGTGAGCAGGTAGCTCCCATCATCGACCTCATGGCTGTGAGCAACGCGCTTTTCGCCAAGCTCCGGGATTTCATTACCCTGCGCCTGCCTCCTGGCTTCCCGGTCAAGATCGGTGAGTCCCGGGCCCACTGTGGTGGGGCTGGGTGGGTGTAGAGGAGGGAGAGGGGGCAGTCTACAGTGTGAGGGGGTGGGTGGTGGCACCTGATGGTTTCCTCATCCTCAGAAATCCCGATCTTCCACATCCTCAACGCCCGCATCACCTTCGGGAACCTCAACGGCTGCGACGAGCCCGTGCCTTCCGTGCGGGGCAGCCCGGGCAGCGAGACCCCTTCCCCTGGCAGCGACTCCTCCAGCGTCAGCAGCTCCAGTTCCACAAGTGAGCGCTGCCCCCCTGAGCTCGCCCTGCCCCCCTGAGCTCGCCCTGCCCCTCTGAGCTCACCCTGCCCCCCCTGAGCTCGCCCTGCCCCTCTGAGCTCGCCCTGCCCCTCTGAGCTGGCCCTGTCCCCCCTGAGCTCGCCCTGCCCCCCCTGAGCTCGCCCTGCCCCTCTGAGCTCGCCCTGCCCCCCCTGAGCTCGCCCTGCCCCTCTGAGCTCGCCCTGCCCCTCTGAGCTCGCCCTGCCCTCCCTGAGCTCGCCCTGCCCCCCTGAGCTCGCCCTTCCCTTCTGAGCTCACCCTGTGCCCTCTGAGCTCACCCCGCCCCTCTGAGCTCGCCCCGCCCCTCTGAGCTCGCCCTGTCCCCCCTGAGCTCGCCCTGTCCCCCCTGAGCTCGCCCTGTCCCCCCTGAGCTCGCCCTTCCCCTCTGAGCTCGCCCTTCCCCTTTGAGCTCACCCCGCCCCCCTGAGCTCACCCCGCCCCCCTGAGCTCACCCCGCCCCCCTGAGCTCACCCCGCCACTCTGAGCTCGCCCTTCCCCCCTGAGCTCGCCCTGCCCCTGAGCTCGCCCTGCCCCCCCCAGCTCGCCCTGCCCCCCCCAGCTCACCCTGCCCCCCCCCAACCCCCCCCCCGAGCTCGCCCTGCCCCCATGAGCTCACCCTGCACCCTGAGCTCGCCCCGCCCCTCTGAGCTCGCCCCGCCCCTCTGAGCTCGCCCCGCCCCCTGAGCTCGCCCTGCCCCCATGAGCTCACCCCGCCCCCCTGAGCTCACCCCGCCCCCCTGAGCTCGCCCTGCCCCTCTGAGCTCGCCCTGCCCCTCTGAGCTCACCCTGCCCCCCCTGAGCTCGCCCTGCCCCTCTGAGCTCACCCCGCCCCCCTGAGCTCACCCCGCCCCCTGAGCTCGCCCCGCCCCCTGAGCTCGCCCCGCCCCCCTGAGCTCACCCCCGCCCCCTCTGAGCTCACCCCGCCCCCCTGAGCTCGCCCCGCCCCCCTGAGCTCGCCCTTCCCCCCTGAGCTCGCCCTGCCCCCCCCCCTCCCCCGAGCTCGCCCTGCCCCCATGAGCTCACCCTGCACCCTGAGCTCGCCCTGCCCCTCTGAGCTCGCCCGCCAGCCCCCTGTCCAGAGCCCTCTTCCCCTCCCTGGGAGCCACTCTGACCTCAGCCTGCCCTCAGCCTCCTGCCGTGGATGCGAGATCTCTCCCGCCTTGTTCGAGGCCCCGCGAGGCTACAGCGTGCTGGGGGGCCAGCGGGAGGCAGTGAGCCATGACGACGACGACGACCTCCTGCAGTTCGCCATCCAGCAGAGCCTGCTTGAGGCAGGCAGTGAGTACGACCAGGTTCGTGCCCTGGGACCAGGGGCCACTTGCCTGCGGTGCCGCCGTAGCCGACCGGCCCCGCCTCTCCCGCCAGGTCACCATCTGGGAGGCGCTGACCAACAGCAAGCCGGGCACTCACCCCATGTCCTGCGAGGGCCGCCGACAGGACAGGTCAGTGTCCACCAGGATTTGGAGATGCCCCCTCCCCCCTTCCTCTATCCCCCCCCAGAACACCCCAACACCCTGTCACAGTGGGTGAGGACACTGCTCACCCAACAGCCCCTCCGGCCCAGAGGAACCTCTGGAATCAAAGTGGTTTCTACCACACCCTTTTCTGGCCCTGCGGGTGGGTGAGCAGAACTCCTCATGGCCTCCGGACCCTCCCCGGGCCAGATGTCAGGGCCAGGGTTCGAGAAGATGCCCACACGCGCTGGCTGCTGCCCCTGGGAGGATGGGCTTTGCAGGGACTGGGATGTGTGTGCCACGCCCGGCGGGAGCCAGGGAGGTGGGCAGGGCTGCTTGGTCCCGGGCCTCCACACTGGCTCCCGACCCGCTGGCCCGCAGTTGCGCCCGGAGCCCTGGATGTGTCGTCCTTGCCCCCAGGAGCGACCCGCCCACCCCGCAGCACCAGCCCGCCACCCCCACGGCGGCGCCCGGCCCCCGGCCCGGCCCCGGCCCCGGCTGCCGCGTGTTCCCGAGCTACGACGAGCAGCTGCGGCTGGCCATGGAGCTGTCGGCGCGGGAGCAGGAGGAGCGGCGGCGCCGGGCGCGCCAGGAGGAGGAGGAGCTGGAGCGGATCCTGAGGCTCTCGCTGACCGAGCAGTAGTGCCGCTGCCCGGCCTCGGCCACGCCACGTGAGCCCCGCGGAGTGGCTGGAGGCCAGGGCCACCGCCTCAGGGGCGCAGGGAGGCACAGGCACTGGACCAGGAGGGGGTCGGCACGGCCCCGGGGTACCTTTCCTGGCCGGGCCAGGAAGCAGCTGGCTTGGCCCGGTCCCCCTGCTTGGCTGAAACTGACCCTCAGCCCTCTCCCCCGCCCAAGGGCAGAGCCAGGCGGCCCTGAGCGGGAGGCCGGTCCTCAGAGGAGCAGCGTCCCCTTCCCTGCTCCTGGCTGGCCTCCCTGCTGCCTGCTCACCGACCCACCCCGGACACTGCCCGTGAAGCCTTTGCATTTCCGCTCTTCGCCCCTGGGGGCAGCTGAGCTCCCCAAGTGCTGTGCTGCTGCTTTGTTCCGGCCGCAAACCAGCACGTCTAGGGCCCAGCCCCTCCCCCACTCCAGCATTTCAGCGTCAAGTGCACTTAGCGGGGTGCCCAGCTCCCCCAGCCCTCACACCCCTCCCAGGTCTCAGGGTGGTCCCAGCTTCCATGTGGGCGGCCAGAGGTTGGAGACCCCTTTCCCCAAGACATTTTTTTTTTTGTGATCAGGAGGGTGCCCACCGTGGCCCCCCACACCTGGGTGAGCCTGGCTCCCACATGATTTTTTTTGTCAAATGGGAGACATATTGGGCTGGGGGCAAGCTCTAGACCCTACACTCGACTGGATACAGAGGGGTTGCCCGAGGCCCTGGCATCACCACCCACCCCTTCCCACCAGCTGCTGCTAGCCCTCTGTGGTTGTGCGTCCCACCTGCCCCTGCCCAGGGGCTGATTCTAAAACCCTTCATCCAATGGTGCTAACCCCCGGCTCTCCCCAGCCCCACCCCACCCACCAAGAGAAGCACAGACCCTGCCGGGGGCAGGGGCCCACGGCACACCCTAGCCCGGATTCTCTCTGATGGGGCTGCCCTGGGTCAGCCGGGAGGTTCAGAAGGGACACAAAGGGATGGAAAGAAAGAACAAAGAGAAACGGTTCCTCTTACCCCCTCCCTGATGCCAGGGGCACCAGACTGATTCTGAGGCACAAATTAAAGAGGCTTCAAACCTGAGGCTTTTCCTATCTGCCTTCACTGGGAGGAACGCCCGCCTGGTTCCTTCTGAACTTCAGTGTGGGGAGGCCCTGAGGGGAGAGGGTGCCTGCTGGATCCTGAGCTCATCTGTCAGCGTCTCGGGGAGCCTGGGGATAGTATGTGTAGAGGCTGGGAGACTTGTTCTACACATACACTCTCTCTCTCACACACACACACACATACATGCTCTCACACACACACATACACATACACTCTCTCACACACACACACACACATGCTCACACACATACACATACACTCACACACACACATACATGCTCTCACACACACACATACACATACACTCTCTCACACACACACACATGCTCTCACACACACACATACACATACACTCTCTCACACACACACACACATGCTCTCACACATACACATACACTCACACACACACATACATGCTCTCACACACACACATACACATACACTCTCTCACACACACACACACACATGCTCTCACACACATACACATACACTCACTCTCTCTCTCACACACACACACACACACACTCACACACATACATGCTCTCTCTCACACACACACATACACTCTCACACTCAAATAGAGACACACACACGCCCCAGGCAGGAGGCACAGACTGAACACTTAGTAAAAGATTTCATTCAGTATGACTTGTTTTCCTCCTGGAGCTGAGGCCACACAGGGCTAGGGGCAGTGTGTATGAGGCGGGTGGTGGGGGGTGAACCTGCTGGCCCAGGCCAGTTTTTGCCCGCCCTCCCCTGTGGGTGGAAAGAGCGCCCTCTGCTGGGCGTAACCGGCGGATCCAGCTCTACAGCCAAAGGATTGTGTCTGTAGAACTGGGGTGGCATCCGCCGGTTTACCACTCATGTGGGCGGAGTCACGTGGCCTGATTAGAGGGACTAGCCCTGTCACTCCCCCCGCTAGTCTATCGAGTCGCCACCCCTTTGAGGCCAAGCCCCGTTCCCCAATGTCCCCAAGCACCTTGCTAATAACTAAGAACTCCTCTGCCCCGAGCGAGGGGCCGGGCAGACGCCGTCTCGCCGTGCAGCACCGGTGCTGAGGCCCCGTCACCCGGCCAGCTCCCGCCGAGTCCGGAGGAGGCGCGCCGCGCGGCGGCCGGCGGTGCGGTGCCGGCGGTACCTGTCTCCGCCCGCGAGGCTCCACTTGTCCAGGCTTCCCGCCAGGGAAGGAGTTCCATTCCCAGTCCCGCGCCCAGCCCAGAGGCGGGCTCCCAAGTTGCAGACCCAAAGCCTGGGCAGCTGCGCCCTGCGCCCGGCGGCCTCGCCCTCCGGGGTCGGAGCTGCCGCGGCGGCGCTAGTCGCCGTCCACCAGCTCGCACAGCATGTTCTCCAGCGCCGTGATGCGCTGCTCCTGCGCCTGCACCTGCTCGCGCAGTGCCTTGACCTGCTCCAGCAGCGTCTCCAGCATGTTCTGCTGCGGGGGGAGGACAGGGGGCGGCGTCGGCGGGGGGAGGGGATGGGGGGTGGGGAACGAACGTGTAGACTGGGCCTGGGCCTGGGAGGGGGCGGGGTCTGGGCCTGGGAGGGGGCGGGGCCTGGGTCTGGGCCTGGGCGGGGTCTGGGTCTGGGAGGGGGCGGGGCCTGGGCCTGGGAGGGGGCGGGGTCTGGGTCTGGGCCTGGGAGGGGGCGGGGGCTGGGCCTGGGCCTGGGAGGGGGCGGGGGCTGGGTCTGGGCCTGGGAGGGGGCGGGGCCTGGGCCTGGGCCTGGGAGGGGGCGGGGTCTGGGTCTGGGCCTGGGAGGGGGCGGGGTCTGGGTCTGGGCCTGGGAGGGGGCGGGGTCTGGGTCTGGGCCTGGGAGGGGGCGGGGTCTGGGTCTGGGCCTGGGAGGGGGCGGGGGTCTGGGCCTGGGCCGAATCTCACCGATAAGGGGGCGTCGCTGGCGGACTGGCTGCGGCGGGGGCCGGAGGGCGGGCGCGCGTCCAGGATGTTGCGCTTGGTGACCCGGAGCTCGCGGTGCTTGGGGGGCACGTACCCGTCCCGCAGCGAGATGAGCACGGGCTCGGCGTCCTGGCCCGACAGCCACTCGTCCGCTTCCAGGGCCGGTTCGGGCCCCGGCGTGTCTGGATACAGGTCATCCTGGAACAAGTCTGACTGCGGGGTGGGGTGGAGGGAGGGGAGGAGTGATGGTGGGGTCCGGGGGAGGAACAGGGGGGTGAGGGTTAGCAGGCGCCGGACCTGCTCCGCCCCCTTCCACCTCGGAGCCCCGCCCCACCTAGCCCCTCTCCCCGCCCCTCACCTTGCGGGGCACCGTCATGATGATGGGCTCACATTTCCTTTCGTGCAACTTGTAGAACCTGTAAGGGAGTGGGGGGGCTCAGCACCCCACAGGCGCCCGTCCCGTTAGCGTCTCCCTGGGAAGGGGTTGGAGGCCCCCACGTGCGGAGCGCCTCCCGGGCATTAGCTTTAAGTGAGTGGTTAGTCCAGCAGGGAACGCCTCCCAGAGGGTGCGGGCCACCCTCTTACAGAGGAGGACACCCAAGGTCAGAGACTGCCAAGCTGGTTGGACGCCCCCCGTTTCCCCAAAGACCACCCGATCGGGCCGCCCCGTGTCTCCCCGCGGGAAGGACGGGTGGGGGCTGCTGACCGGGCGATCTCGCACTTGCTGACGTCCAGCCCCCGCCTGGGCATGAAGCCCATGCCCCGCTGCGGCTCCTTGCTGCTGAACGTGTTGAGGTAGTGCACGAAGGGCGGCTCCTCGGTGATCTCAAAGTACCGGATGCTGCTGTCGCCCTGCAAAGCCGGCGGGTTCAAGCCGCACCGCGGAGGAACCCCCTCCCCCGGTCTCTGCCAGCCGCGCTCTCCCCGCCCGGCCCCCGCCGGCGCACCTTGCCGCACAGGTAGACGATGCTGGAGTCGGGGTCGTAGAAGGGCAGGAGGACGCCGTTGCTCGTGTCCATCTCCTGCAGCGCCACCGGCTCCTCGAAGTTGTTCTGCCGGAGCACAGGAGGCGTGACCGGCCCGCCCGCCCGCTTCAGGATCCCCCGCCGCCCCGAACCCGAACCCCTGCGCTCCGCCGCAGTTCCGGTCCCGGACACGCCCCTCCCGGGCCGCGGCACACAGGCCCTCTCCGCAGCATGCAGTCACCGCACACCACCCCCAGGGACTCGGCATCACCAGTCGGGGGCGCCAGTGTGGGCTCCTGCAGGCAACGCAGCAGCAAAACTGGGCGGAGGGGTGGGTGTGGGCGTGGGAGGCGCTGCAGGGAGGGCAGCAGCCTCCAGCCCGGTCCGGTGGGCACGCCCTGCGGGGTGGGGGGGACGCCTGGCCCCGCTCCCGTGATGCCAGTCCCCGGGGCACACACCCCGCGCTTCCAGCTGCGTTACCGGGTCCCACAGGCCCAGCTCTCGCTGGCTCATGCGGGTGAAGCCCGTGGTGAAGATATGGCCCTGGCGCGTGAAGACGGCCCGCATGGGCCTCATCCCCTCGTGGGCCGCAAACCTCTCCTGGGGGCAGGGGAAAACAGGGAGAGGCGTCACCCGCTGCCTGCCCCGGGGGTCCTGGAGGGAGGGCCCAGCAGCCTGCTGGCCAGCGTGGGGGGGACAAAAAGGGGCCTAAAGGTCCCGGGCCTGGGGAGCGGTGGGCCCTGAGAGACCTGGAGGCGTGCGTCTCGGCAGGTGATGGCCGGTCCCCGGAGCAGTGGGAGGTGTGCCGGTGTCCCGGGGACGCGGCGAGGCTGCTCCGGAAGGCGCCCCCTCGGGCCCGGCCGCGCTCCGGGCGGACCTAGCCAAGTCGCGAGTGCGCGCGCCCGGCGAGGCCTGGCCTACCGGGTCCCAGAGCGCGAGTTGCCGCTCGCTCATCCTGCTGAAGCCGGTGCTGAGCAGCTTCCCGTCGGCGGTGAAGACGGCCCGCATCGGGCGGGCGCCCCCGTGAGGCCGGGCTCGCTCCTGCTCGCGGGGTTAGTGGGTTAGAGGCCCGCCGCTGGCCGCGCGCGCACACGGGGCGCAGACACACATGCACACGCCCCACGCGCCCCGCGTTAGTCTGAGGCTGGTGAGGCAGGTGCCAGCCGCCGCCCCCCCGCCGCTCACACCCAGGCGAGACCAGCAACGCGCGAGGATGGCCTCTCTCCCCCCGAGGATGGCCCCTCTCCCTCCCTGCCCAGCAGGTCAGCGAGGGCGGAAAGGGCCGGGCCCTGAGCCAGTGTCAGGCCCTGACATCCCCGCGGCCCCCCCCCCCCCCACAAGATGGCTCTGAGTGCCGGCTGAGAGGAGAGGGGTCCGGGAACTCAGGTTTCATGCAGGTTCTAATGGGAAGATGGTTTGCAACTCCTCCCCTTCTCTGAGCTCCTGAGGTGGAGGGGAGGAGAGGGAAGGGGAGGGAGGAGGCATGGGGCAGAGAATTCCAGGCTCAGGGCTCAGGGCTCAGGGCTCAGGGCAGGGAGCTGTGGCTGCAGACACTGGGAGGTGGCGGAGGGTGGAAGCACTGGCCCCGAGGCTGGGATCGGGGTTCAGGGAGTTCAGGTTTAGGGGCCTATGGTTGGTTCCCGGGGTGGGGGCTGGGGAGCGGCCAGGCCAGGCACTCACCGCCACCACCTGGCCCTTGCGGGGGTCGACAATGCGCAGGGTCTTGTCCTTGCAGGTGGTGGCCAGCAGGCTGCCGTTGCTGTTCCAGCACACGCTGTGGATGATGTCCGGGTGCATGTCGTCCAGGCTCAGGAGCACCTCCCCGGTGCCCACGTTCCAGATGATGATCACGTTGTCACCACCTGCCCGGAGCGGCCAGTCACCATCACCCGGCCCTGCCTTGGCCACCCTCCCTCCACCATCTACTGCGGGGATCCCTCTCTAGGCCCCCAGACCTGCACTGAGCAGGACGTTCCGGGCAGTGGGGTGCCAGGAGAGGATGCCCACGCGCTTGGAGTGGCCTTCTAGCGTGATGATGGGCTCTGTGATGTTGCGCATAGGGGTATAGTCTGGAATCTGCCACACCTGGTAGGAGGAAAAGGCAGAGAGGGCGGGGAGGATGAGGAGCTACTTTGGCATATTTATTGATTTTTTACAGAGAAGAAGGAAAAGGAAGAGAGAGCTAGAAACATCGATGAGAGAGAAACATCGACCACCTGCCTCCTACACCCCAAACTAGGGATGTGCCCGCAACCAATGTACATGCCCTTGACCGGAATTGAACCTGGGACCTTTCAGTCCACAGGCTGATGCTCTATCCACTGAGCCAAACCGGTTTTGGCACTCTCCAGAGATCTTAATCACCTCAGCAGGGAGGCCTCAGAGCAGTAACTCCCTACTCTTCACCCCCAAATTGGCCATGGTTATTATTAGTCCTAAGCAGTGCATCCTGGGAAGGAGTGGGCATGTAGCTAAAAATAGCCTGGGAGCTGGGCTGGACAGGGCCCTGGGACCCAGCACCTCCCTCACCACCTTCTCTAGAACAGGTGAGCCAGCCCCCACTGCTTCCCCTGCCCAGCCACCCAGCAGCTTCCAGCTGGCTCCTACCATGATGGTGGTGTCATCCGAGGCACTGGCGATGACATTGTCATTGTGTGGACACCAGTCGATGTCCAGCACAGGGGCAGTGTGCCCAGTGACCAGTGGGTGGTTCTTATCCACTCGTCCTGTCTGGAGGGGTGAGAGAGAGAGAGAGAGAGAGAGAGAGAGAAAGAGAGAGAGAGAGAGAGAGAGAGAGAGAGAGAGAGAGAGAGAGAGAGAGGTGGGGCCACTCTCCTGTGTGGTTTTGGGGGCGGGCAGTGGACTTGTTTACATTTCAAGTCTCCACCATTGGTTTTCTCTTTGCAGACCCCTCTCTGCACCTCCAATCCCAATCAGCCTACTCCCTGTACTTCCGTGAAGACAGAGTTGAAGTCATTTAATATCAGGGACTTAGACACAGAGCGGTCAGGTGACTTAACCAAGGACACACAGATACTGGTAGAGCCAAGGTTTGAGCTCTTAGCCCTGCGTTTCCGAAAGGCCTCCTCGGAGGAGGATGTTCCTGAGCCTGCGCCCGGTGGATGAGTATGGAAAGCCCCTGGCAGAAGAGGTGAAGGTGAGATCGCACGCAGTGCAGCACTGACGCCCTTGGCAGCCTTCCGCCCTGTCACTGGTTTACTTCGGAGCCACAAGCAGCGGGCACTCCTGGTGCCTGCTATGCTCCAACCTGCGCTGGGACCCATCTATTTTTGGTCTTTATGGGCTGTTCGCAGGGGCTCTGAAGCCGCGGCCGGGCTGGCATGGGCCCAGACAGTAGGGGAGAAGGGGGGCTGTGTGGCACTGGAGTGACAGTAGTAACTGGGGGGAGGAGGTGGCTCCCGCTTGAAATTTGAGCCCCGGGGACGGTGTCCTTGTATGGTGTCCACATTGTCCCGGAGTGAGTCACTGGCTATTGTCAGGCCTCTTCCTGCCACCTGTGGGGCCTCCTCGAACAAGGTGTAGGGGCAGAATCCAGGTCAAGGTCATACGTGGGGTGGTCAGGCTGGCAGTGGAGACGGTGGCGGGGCTTCAGGCTACTCAGCAGAGGGGGTGGTCATTACCTGGGTTAGGGAGCAGGGCCCTGGGCTCCTGTGTCATGACCCCCTGACCTCTGTTCTCATACCCCTCTCTGCACGAACCAGAGTGGGGAGGTGGCCAGGGCCTCTGGGGAGCCTGACTCTGTCCTCAGCGTGAAGCTGTGGGGTGTGATGTAGCCAAATGGTTATCCTGGACTGGGGAGAAAGGTCCTCACGCCCAGAATCTGAGGGGGTGTGGCATCAGGAGAGACAGGAAGAGAATCTGGCCAGGCCCTGACTCCACTGCTTCCCGACTATCTCCATCACCCACTCCCGGGCCCAGCTGGGACCAGGTGCGGGGTGGTGAGTGGGTGCAGGCCGCTGTGATGCCGCTGCTCTGGGAGGGAAAGAGCCTCCCAATGGGCCTGTAGGGGCTTGGGAAACGGGGCAGCCAGCCCACACAGCCCGCTGACTGAGGAATGGAACCCGGTGAGAACAGAGGCTGCTGCCAGGAGGGCTGGGGGCCCCAGCCAGGGTCCTCCCGCCAGCCTCCTCCTCCTCACCCTCACCTTGGCCAGAGGCAGGACGATGAAGGCCCCCCCGCCCCCAGCCTCCACGATGATGGCCAGGAACTTGGGGTTGACGGCGCAGAAGGAGCTGTCCCACGTGACCTTGGACACACGGATGTCCTCGTAGGCCTGGTCAGCCTTCGCCGCCTGCCCAAACACGTGGCGAAACTTGCTCTGCCGAACTACGCGCCGGCTCATGGCTTCGGGCAGGGATGGAGGGTCTCAGTGCCCAGAAACGCCTTCGGTCCTTAGTCCTGCAAACTGTGGGAGGCAGGGAGAGAGAGAGAGAGAGAGAGAAAAGAGAGAGAGAGAGAGAGAGAGAGAGAGAGAGAGGGAGTGTGAGAGGGGGTTTGGGGTGGGGTTAGGGTAACAAGTGAAAAGGGTTATCTGGCCAGGAGTTGGGTATAAATTCAGAGTCTGGTCCTAGAAGCAGGGAGCTTTCTTCAAAGTGATGACAGTATGAGAAAGTTCTTGTCCACCTATGAAGTGGGGCTTAACGCAAGGGGCTAGGATTTGGGTGGGCCTCACTTCTCAGACACCCAGACTGAGGGGCCACTGGGCCCAAACGCTTCCTGGAAGCTGAAGTGGTTTGGGGAGGAGCCTCACGGCCAGGCTGCCCTCCCGCTGCCAGCCCTGGGTGAGCATCTCTTCACAGAGTCCGTTTACCGGCCAGAGGCACCTTGGATCCTGGCTCAGAGCTAGCTGTGGGGCTAGGCCTGCAGCCCCCCACCATCCTCATCTCTGGCATTGTTCAGGCAGATGTTTTGTAATTTTCTAAAAATTTGCCGGGGAGAAGGTCCTCCTGTCACCTAACCCGAGTCCTGTTACTGTGTTCATCAGTCTCCTCCGTGTTGCTTTGGGGGACACAGTGTAAGGTGGGTCATCTTCCTCCCCCTGCTCTGGGCACTGGCTTCTCCCAAAGGCTCTGACTGTGGCCTTCTGCCTTCTGCCTGCCACCCTTTCCATCCTGCTTCTCCTCTGAGTCCCGAGTCCTCCTAAACTCTCCACCCCGGGGCTGGGGCCAGATTTGCAGGAGTGGGGAGGCTGAGGTGCCTTTTCTCCAGCCGGGACCAGCCCTACGCTCTTCCCCAAAGCCCAGCCACTGTCTCCTGTCCCCTAACCAGCCGGGCATCCCTGTGCCCTTCAAGCTGCTTCTGCAGCCCGGGGCCTAAGGCCTGGACTTCCCGAGCCCTCCTTGGGCCTCCTGCCCCAGCCAGCGCTGCGTTCTTGTGAGACTAGGTGTCTGCACCCTTTGGGCACCGGCCGCTGCCCGTCCAAATATAGACACCAAGCCTGCCCCACCGGGACGGTTGTGGCGGCAGGGGGGAGGGGGTGCAATCCTGTGCCCCCTCCAGAGATCTCGCCTGCTCCGCTGTCTGCGATGGTGGCAGGGAGGGGCGGGGGGAGGGTGGAGAGGGAACGGGGATACCTGGTCCTGCGAGGGGCGCTCACGCAGCGAGTCCTCTGCGGAGGGAGCTGGGGGCGCGCTGGCTCCGAGGTAGGCGGCAGCGGCCGGGACTGCCGCTCCGGTGTCCGCGGCGCTGGGGCCGCCGGGTGTGGGGCTGCGCTCCGGCGCTGCGGGCGGCTCTCCGGGCCGGGGCCACTGCGGTCCCAGCTGCTGCTGCCATCAACCTGCGGGGGCGGAGCCCGCGGAGGGCGGGGCCAGAGCGCCCGCCCCCTCCCCGGCGGGAAAGTTGAGTGCGGAGGCTCAGGAAAACGTCAAAAGGAACCGCTTTGGCTCAGGGGACAGAGGGTTGGCCTGTGGACTAAAGGGTCCCAGGTCCCATTCCAGCCAAGGGCACAGGTCCGGGTTGCAGGCTCGATCCGCCCAGTGGGGGGCGTGCAGGAGGCAGCCAACCAATGAATCTCACCATTGATGTTCCTATTTCTCTCCCTTTCCCTTCTTCTCTAAAATCAGAAAACATTTTTTAAAGAAATCGTGGGTGTGTGCGGGGTGTGGGGTGTGCGCACTCCTCACCTGCCCTCGGCTCCTACCGGGTGTGATGGGCGCTGAGAGGAGGCGCGCTCCTCCCAGAGCCAGCGGCCTGGCAAGATCAGGCGCCTTCACGCCTCATTCTTGCTGCAATCACACTCCCCATTTAGCCCGGGTGGGGTGGGGGGAACAAGCCGCGGCACCGCACCTCCAGACCCTCTTTCGGAAAGATCCTGGAGATGCTCTGGGGGAGAAAGGTGAGTGCACCTGGACACACAGGGAACGCAGTTCAAGGGGAAGCGGCTGTAACAGGTCTTTAGCCAAATTATTTATTTAGTTACTTATGTATTTTTAATCCTCATCTGAAGATATTTTTCCATTGATTTTTTTAGAGGGAATAGAAGGGAGGGGGAGAGACACACAGAGAGAAGAAACATCTATGTGAGAGAGACACATTGACCAATCGACCAGGCAGCCTGCAACCGAGGGTGCCTTTGACTGTCAGTCCACTAATCCACTTTGGCCAATTTATAGAGCACAGCCTGACTTCTAAAGTCTTCTGGGCCGTGTTTGAATTGGTGCCCGCCTCTTCTCAACCCTCTCAGGACCCAGAGATCAGAGTATTGACCAAGGTAAAAACAAGATAAAAAGAAATCAGGTCAAAATCGTCAGTGAATAACAATTGGTCCCTGTAACTGCAGTCTACCCAGTGCCTGCCCCCTGCCTGAATCTGTTTCTTTTTTTTAAAAAATATATTTTATTGATTTTGTACAGAGAGGAAGGGAGAGAGATAGCGAGTTAGAAACATCGACGAGAGAGAGTCATCGATCAGCTGCCTCTTGCACACCCCTACTGGAGATGTGCCCGCAACCAAGGTACATGCCCTTGACCAGAATCGAACCCAGGACCCTTCAGTCCCCAAGCCAACGCTCTATCCATTGAGCCAAACCAGTTTCGGCATGAATCTGTTTATTTTTCTCTCTTTTCTTTACTTTTCTTTCTTTCTTTTTTGCTTTCTTTTTCTCTCTCTCTTTTAAAAATATATTTTTATTTATTCAGAGAGGAAGGGAGAGGGGAGAGAAATAGAAACATCAATGATGAGAGAGAATCATCGATCAGCTGCCTCCTGCATGGGGATCCCACTGGGGATCGTGTCTGCAACCCGGGCATGTGCCCTTGATCAGAATCGAACCTGGGACCTTTCAGTCCACAGACTGATGCTCTGTCCACTGAGCCAAACCAGCTAGGGCTGGATCTGTTTCTTTGGATCATAAAGCCCCGAAAGGCAGCTTGGGGCCAGTTATTCCCACTCTCCGGGCACAGCTGGGAATCGATGGAACAGTCTTCCAGAGGGCAGAGGGCAGAGGCTGCTTTTGGTAAAGGGGAGAGAAGATGGTGAGAACCTGGGAGGCCCTCACAGGCTCCTTTCTCAGGCGAGCTCGAGTTCTCAGCGACTTGTAGGGGAACTGAATCAGACTGTTACAGGTGCTTCAGGAATAACTCATGTTATGGGGAACCGTAAGGGTAGATGAGGAGTCTTCCGTTTACCTAAAGACTCCAGGCACAGCATTAGGAAGAAAGGACCTTAATGACTCAGTTGCTCCCTACTAGCAACAGCTCACACTTAGGTGCTAGACACTGCACTAAGGGATTTACACATATTAATCCCATTCTAACATCTTCTGAGATGGTATTAACATCCCTGCTTTACAAATGAGAAAACTGAGGCCCAGGACTTAAGTAGCTTACCCATCCCTCAACTGGCCATTGATGATGCTGAGGCCCTTATCCACGTGGCCTGGTGCCTAGGTCCACGTTTTCCAGACCGCGCACTTCTGTCTCTCCTTGAAGGACAGTGCCATTCTCTCTCACAAATGTGATGCTGACAGTTACTGCTTTGTGGGCAGAGAGGAAAGGACATCAGGACGAATTAGAAAACTGGAGGTCCAGCCCAGGCTGGCAGCCTATTTCTGCAGCTTTCTGGGCTGTAAAACGAAGAGGGCTAGGTCAGGTTCTTTCTAACCCTGCACCACCTGTTGGCAGAGAAGGAGTTTGACATGTTGCCTCTTACTCTAAAAGGGGGTCTTTTCTCCCCCTGGCCTTTCCTCCTTTTTATTTTTATTTTTTTTCATGTAGAGGGCGTAATGTCGCAGGAAAGTCCCAGTATCCTGCCGCGTGTGGAGATAAACCCAGGTTGCTGTGGGATGTGTCAGTCACAGAGCAGCCATTCTTCAGGCGCTCTGCTCTCTTCACACCCAACTCTCCTCCTTTCTAAAGAGCTAGGCGCTCCATTCTGGAGAGAAGCAGGAATCCTTCAGATTCAACCTGCCTTCAGTCCCATCCTCTGGGAGAGTGGGGGAGGGGAGCGCGAGGTGCTCACCAGTGACAGGCGCCAGGATTCGCAGGTATTGCTGGGACCTGGCGTGACTCAGCCCTGCCCTCTCGCCGCCTTCTGGCTGCCAAGTCCTGGCGCAGCTGTGGGTGGGCGGAGCCACGGCACAAAGTGCCAAGCAGGTGAAGAAGCCACTGGGGGCTGGTGCTTTCCCTTCTTGTTATTCAAACTACCAGCTGGGCTCTGAACTCTCTCTCTGGGGAAAACAAGCATGGATTACATCTTTCATAAAGCCGTTTTCCGGAAGAGCTGTCCTGGCAACTTGAGACATGACTTGGTCCATTTCCCTGGGCTAGAAAGCCCAGCCTGAACTTACGTAGACTGGCGGGGACTCGGCACCCGTGGTATGCCCCTCTCATCTGATATGGACAAATCAGGACGAAGCAAGCTGACAAGGTGGGTCCAAGGCAGTGCTTCCTCTGGAAATTTCACTAAATTCTGTTAGCGATTTGGAAATGGAGCTTTCCCCACGTAGTAGTGCTGCTCTGTACGCCATGAGCAGTACTGATGCCTGTGGAGGGCTGGCAGCAGTGGGCGCCTCCCCTCCGCCCCCCGCCCCCACCTGTTTTAGACAACTGCCCTGTGCCCTCTACCATCGACATCAAATGCTTCTCTTCTCATGGCGGCAGGTTCAGCTTTTACTTCTTTGGAAGGTCATGCCCCATTTCTAGAAACCTCTGAGTGAGCAGAGGTATTGTGCTGAGAGCGTGGGTGGGTGTCTAGAGAGGTCACCCACCCAGGAGGTCCAGTGCCTGCTGGGGCAGGTCAGGGCAGCTGTCCCCGAGCAGTCACTCTGCACCACAGATGGCGAAGCAGTTTTGGTCCCTTTGCTTATTCATTCTCCTAACATTCAGGTGGTGACTTTGGCAAGAGCCTCTTTGGCCAGGCAAGTTCCCAGCTTAGTCACTTGATCGGAGCCACAATATCTGAAATAATCTTTAGCGATCCTATTTCCCATGCACTCTTTATTCTGTGGGAGGTGGAAAGTTATTTTCCCCCCCCCCAGAGGTCAGCTTAAGGGTGTGCTTGATGGAGATCAATCAATGAGCATTGTTTCATACTTATCAGCAGTATTCTCCTCCAATCCCCGTGCCTTCTTCCACCCACCCTATTTGTTGAACTTGATTAAGTACACACATTTCATCTTCAAAATAAAAATTTATTCAGTCTGTAACAAGAACATTGAGTCTGCACATTTGCGCACAAGTTCACATTTAAAAACAGCGGAGCACTTCAGTAATAAAAAAAATCTCTGATACAAGTGGAACATCCCGATCACTATGAAGATTAAGGAAGGAGATGAGACCACTCTTTATATTCTGCTTCAAATGCCTCAAAAAGGTCCCAGAGATTCCAGGGAGCACCTGCGTTATTTAATAAAAGTGTGAGCATAAAGGTTTCGGGCGGCCTGGGCAAAGGTAACAAGTCTATTGGACTAGTTTTCCACATTTATAACAAGCCCTACAAAATAATGTAGAGAGAAAGAAAAAAGAAAAAAAGAAAAGAAAGAAAAGGCACCTTAAGCTATATCAAGCAAACCAAGTCCAATAAAACATAAAAACCAACTCCCTGTGGCCTTACTGACGGGGAAACAGTCCAGGGCATTGTCCAGTTTTCAGGCTGGGCCGTCAGCTCGAGGAAAGCCCTGAGCGGCAGCTCTGCATGTATGTGTACATGGGATGCCGCCGCCAGTGCCGTGGTGAGGACACGGAGGGTCACAGAGCCCTGGGGCCTGTTCGCATGCCCCCCGGGGGTGTGTGTGTGATTCCAGTTTAGAAACCCTGTCCTCCCGCTCTGGGGCTCTGAGAAAATGAGGCTGGCTCTCTTCCCACAGCAGCAGCCAGGCTGAGTCACCCTCCATTCCAGGCTGGAAGAGAGAAGCACCTTGCGAGAGCTCTCCATGGCCTCCAGGGACCCCACGCCTGGGGAGAAGGGCGAGGAGGGTGCAGTGGCCTGCTCTGGCATCAGGCTTTTTCCTAATACGGGGACCGGGTGAGTTGAGACACCCAATACATTTGTCTAATCCATGCCTTGTTCTTTTAGGTTGAAGAGGAAAACAAAGTCCAAGATCCTTTTGAGTTGGGTTGATGATGAAAGAGCTAAAATTTCATCTCATCTACCATCAAAAAGCAAAACAGAATTAAACAAAGATGACACTAGCCATTCACCAGTACAACCATCACTGTAAGACACACCATCACTGAGGAAATGTCTATTCCCATACAGGGCTGGGCGGGAGTGCGGGACACAATGGAAGTCAGCTCCGGGTTTCCCTGCTTATCCACGTGGGCTCACGGCTACAGCCGTGCTCTGTGTGAGGGCGCACCGGACAGTCAGGGGTGGGTCCCCGGAGGAGGAGACTGAGCTGCCGTCAGGATGATGCAAGTTTTAATACTCACACAATGTAAACAAAGTATCCACAGATAGTTGTAAAAAAAAAAAAAAAAAAAAAAAAAGCCAAAGAATGGCTTTATTTAAAAATGCCCTAAAAGTGAACCATTCTGCATAATGCTTTCTTAAAAAAAAAAAAAAATTCCACAAACCACTCCCACAAAAACATCTTTACCAAACATGCCTACATCACTTCAGAACTGAATCCTCAGAAGGAACAGGCGATTTCTGTGAGCTGCTGCGTCTCAGAAGCTTCGGGTCTATCCAACAGCATCTGTCTGCGGCCCTTTCTCAGGAGGGGACCTCAGAACCTAGGCTGTCCTCAGGCTGTCCTCGGAGCTCTTGGTAATTCCCAAGATGAGAGAGAGGAGACACGGTAGGGAGAAAGGTATAGAACCAGGACAACGCTAGAGAGAGAGTTGGAAGAGGCTGAGATGCTAGGAATGATCCCAAACATTCAGAATCTGAAAGGCAACCAAAATGAGGAGAGATGAATATTACTCTACTACAGTGCTACATGTCTATTATATATACACTACGCCTAAGTGTTTCTAAATTTATAAAGGGGTATGGGTTTCTCTCCTTCCTACTGACCAGGTAACCATCCAGATTACAGCTCAAAACCTGGGGCTTTTACCCCATGCACCAAAATGCTACTTTTTACACACACACACACACACACACACACACACACACACACACACACACAGAGGCACTGAGTAAGAAGTCAAGGCCTTTCCTACTCATTTCTGTCAATTTACCAGACCTGCTGTCCCAGGGCTGGGTTTTCCATGAACAGGAAATAGAAATAGGCCACCCGAGATTATCAAAAGTTTGGAGAGAAGAGAGTCTGAAAAGTCCTTGATAGCTCATCATGTTCTTTCCCTAGACTTCGCTCAGTCATGTAAATACCGTAAGAATGCTCAGCTGAGTCAGAGTCTGAGCGGACTTGCAAATCTCCTTGGCATTGGCCGAATTACAGACCCTGTGCAGAAGACGTTTATTTAGGCAGATAAACTGAATATAAAAAATATTTTTAAAAATGGAAGGCGAGCAGGCATGTTTCCTTTAATCCAGTGATCTTCAACCAGTGTGTGGCAAGAATTTTTAAAACCTGTGTAATACCTATTTAGTCAGGGGCACTGACCTCTTTTCCCTTGGATTGTCAAAAAAAACACACACAAAAAAACACAACAAAACAAAACAAAAAAAACAACCTACAGAAAAACATGATAACAGCCAATACAACAATAGCTATGGGGTATGAATGCCTGTCTTGAACCATAAATATACAGGTCATGTAAAAGACTTAGTTGCATCTTATTGGTCACGTCGCATAATAAGATTATGTTAATTCTTGGTACCAGAAATCTTTATATACAAGTATAGGCACCTAATTTTTAAAAGTCACTTAGGAGCAAAAAAGGATAGGTAATTACTATTTTTAAAAATCAATCAAATTATATCTATTTTTTTTGTCAGATTGGCAAAAACTACATTTTTTGGTGAGCTGAATTTTAGTAATTTGCTTATGTGTGTCATGAGATGAAAAAGGTTCAAAATTGCTGCTCTATTCTTTAAAAAAAGGTTTCTGTTTTTCTTCACAGCATTAGAAGATTCACTCCCATCTTTGTTGTTATTTAATGCAGTGAGATTGAGCATCAAACACAGGAGGGAGAAGAGAGAACAGTACAGTTGTCTATCCTGCGGCACTCTTAACACAAGGATGTCACCATCTCAAGGGATTAACATGAATGGACTCCACTCCCTTAACCTCCAGGCAAATCCTCCTCTTCCAGCCCAGACAGAATGTCCTGTCCTTTCCCCATCAGAGTTGCCTCAATAAGACAGGGCAGCTTAGATGGATGAGCTCCTCACACTGGTATATACCAGCCAACAAAACACTTTACAGCACATTCCATATCCAGGAACCACAAAGCCATGTGAATGACACATTTGACATTTAAGGAAACTATTTAGGGAAAGCACAGGTATATATAATTACTACACCATAAAGCAGGTTTCAACACATATAGGTATCTATCCAATATGCCTCCTGGCAGTGATGTCAGATGTAACTACAGCTTCCACATGGCAATTGAATTCACAGCTTCTCAAGCACATATGAGTGGCCTCAGTCTACTTTTCTCTCTCCTCTGAGTCATCTCATTACCTACCCCACCAATCATTGGCCTCTGACATCACTTTTACAGTCTGTGCATCTGCCTTTTCCTCTCAGTGTTGTGTTGAAGCAAAAATCTAAAACTCAAGCCTGTACTTGGTCAGTCTCTCAACAATGTGGACATCGACCAAAGCAAACAGGAATCAAATTTGCAAACCTCTTCAGTTCTGATGAGGGTCCTTCATTTCAGTCTACGTATGTTTTCTGTAAGAAGCTGAAATAGGCTTGTTTATGGCAGGTGCTGCTGTCTTAAGGATCCCGTAGTAGCAGCAAAGCAAAAGCATCCTAAATGGAATCTGTAAGGACGCCTGCCCTTGGCTGATGCCACCCCGCAGCCTTAGCCTAATCCATGAGGAGCTTCCACCCTGGGAAGCAGTTAGCAGTCCCGTACACGCCCTGGCTGTGGTTCAGTGAAGGCAAACAACTTTCTGGGATTTCAGGTGAGGACGCAGCCATCAGTCAAACTGTGATCTAAAGGGAGCCTTTAGGGGTTGCTCTGTGGAGGAAGTTACTATTACTAATGCATAATTTGGCAGGAGCTGGCAATTCGGAGTCTCCATTTAAACAATAAAACAACTGTCAATATACTCTACAGATTCCTACAACACCCATCAGTTTTATTTCTCTTGTCTTTTTCCAGTTGCAGTATAACTCCTTAAAAAAAATAAATCAAAAAGATCCTGTGACATCAACAATAAAACACTGTAAGAATGTGACATTATGTACATAAATACTGTAAAAACTAGAGAAATGACAAATCTCCCAGGAAAAGGGAGGAAAAAACCTTATGTCAAGTGTTAACAGCGATAATATCAAAAAGAAAACTTTGCATTCAATTGAGGTTATACAAAAGTAATGTAACAATTCAAATGTCATCTATGAAATAAAAAACAGGCAGCACTGGGAGAAACAGCATGAGGGAGGAAAATAAATTGGAAAAAATATGGCCATTAAACTCAGAGGCCCACAGAATTATTCAAGTAATGGAAGGGTTAAAACCCTATGTATGTATTCATTTTATAAGAACACATTGACTTTCAATTGCTATTTTTCAAACTTGTCCCTGTTGTGTCTCAGTTTCCCATTTCACTTCCTTCTTATGCTTTTCTCAACAGAGGGACCTCTTGGATTTCAGTTGGGGTTAACTTTTAGTAAAAACAAACAAACTGATTTACTAACAAGTTTATAACACCAGCCATTATGATGCCTTTCTGCAACGATCCACTCTGGAACACCAGAAGAATGGATTCTGCAAGACCCCCTTTGAAAACAGCAGAACCTGCCCACTTCAGAAACTCCAAAGGGCTGGGGCTGGGGACAGGCTGAGAGAGCATGCTGATGTCCCCTGACGCTCCACTGCCCTTCAGCCCGCCTGAAGCATCAGGCCCGGAGAACAAACCCTCCTCAAGCTGGCCCAGGGGCAGCATTTTCAATTTCCGGCTTCACTCCCACCCTCCCCATCTGCTTCCATCCTCAATCAAGCATGCATGCCTTTTCTCAGAGGGCAAAACGAGGAGAAGGTGGCAGTTGATTGAAAAACAGCAATTTGCCTTTGATAAAGGTGTTCTTTGAAAATGAGTATATTTTGAGGTTTGAATTTTCTAAAAATAAAAATGATAAAATGGTCTTGATGTCCAAATCAATCCCTCTCTCACACATACACAGAGGGAGAAAACCCCAGACTCTGCATGTGCCAGGAACAGTAAAATGACCAAAATGTTATAAAATTAACCGATAAAGTGCATGTTCCTTACATATTACACCTGCCCCTTTTACAAACATTTCTTTTAGAAAGTCACATTGTAGGCTCAGAATCACATGGTATTATAGAAAGGGTTGGTTGTCCGTTTTTTATCACTTGCTTTTTTCAGTCTCCTAAGGGGGTGAGTTCTGTGGTGCTGTTGATGGGGAGCCAAAGCCAGCCCCGGAGCTGGGCCTGCGCGCTGCAGCCCCAGGGTCTGCAGCAAAGGAGGGCCTCCTTCACAGCTAGTCCATTCAGGTCCTGCCTTGGGGAGCAAGCACTGCTGACTGCACCCAAACTCTTTGGCATACTGTACCAGGGGCCTCTCCACTGGCTTGCTCTGCACGATACACTCTGTTGTTTTAAGTTGCTCTATAAAATACTTGGTGGGCTCTGGGTTCTGGGGGGCATCTGAGTTTCCGGGGGGTTCCCGGGCCTCCATGGCATGCATGCCTGAGTCTGTTCTGAGGAAGGGCTGAAGAAGTTTGAGATGAAGGGACTCAGAGGAGACAGGCTCCCTTTCCAGTAAACAGTCTTTACACAGGTCCAAGTAACCTAACTTGGTGAGGGAAGCTGAACGCCTCATTTGGGACGGTTTGCTGAGCCCTATCTGGTAAATCACTTGGGACTCAGTTTCTTTAGCGTGCGCCTTCACCACACGGGAGCTGTGGCTGAGATCCTTTATGTTGTCGCTACTGGAGCTATGAGGGGGTTTATGAGCTACAGGTGATGGGTCCAGTTTTTCTTGTAACTTCCCAATGCTGTCACTAAATGTGCTGATTAAACTTAAGTCTTCACTAGTTAACTGGGGGCCCCTATGTGACACTTCATTGCCGCTGCTGGACAGGGGGCCTTCCTGACTTTCTTCCCAGCGCCCTGGCTCTGCACAGGGCTCACTGTCTGTGGTGCTGCTCTGCTCTGTGAAGCCTTCCAGGTGAACCACGGTCTGGGGGTGCAGATAATCCAAGTTGGCAGATGGTAAGTGGGTAGTGTGGCTGACAAAAGGCGCTGCTGTGCCCAGGGCTGTTGTGGGGCTGCTGCCCCTGTCCTCAGGGCTGCTCGGGGTGGAGGGCGGGTCGGTGGGCCTGCTGTGCTCAGGAGAGGAAGGAGACGGCAGAGGTAGCACTTTGGGGTGGAGGGAAACCTGCTCGGGACCCAGCGTCCTGTTCAGATTTTCATCCAGTGCACAGAGCACAGTGATGGACTTCTCCACTTTCATTTTCCTCAGGCCTGGCTCCCCACTCTCGTCATTGGTGGCTACTTCGCCCCCTGGCCCAGTGTGACTGGGGCATGTGACTGTGTGGGTGTACTCAATGATTTCTATCTTCTTGGGAAAAGGGACTCCCTGTCTTTCAGATTCCTGGCATGAAACCACAGTCCTCTGCTCCTTCAGGACTCCTTGCCGTTTGGTTCTAGGCTCTGACTCCGGGCACTCCTGAGGAGCCTGAGAGGGGCAGAAATCCAGCGGCTTGGGTGCTGGAACAGTGACACCTTGCTCACAAGGCAGTAGGGAGCCGGCCTCAGATCCACCGGGTTTCCCTTTGCTCTTGCTCATCTCTGGTTCCCTGGGGACAAACGGATGTTCTAGGGTGGCTTCCTCGCTCTTCCCTTTCGGTGCCGGGTCTGCCACAGAGGAATCATTCTTGGAATTCTTGCGAGTGGACAGTGAGGTACAAGCAGGAGTGGCACCATGGTGCTCTTGCTCCTGCCGCAAGCGCTCCTCAAACTCCAAGGTGGCTCGTCTTACAGAGCCAGGGCACCACTTGGCACCTGGGTGTACCCCTGGGCCCCAGAGCTCTTGTTCCCCCTCAGCTGGTTCCTCTTCTTCCAAGTCTGTGGCGGATGAGGGTACAGTTAGGCAGCCTTCTGGGTCCCACTTCCCTGAGTCTTTGGCTAGTTCAGGCTGGGCTGAGCAGGAACCCTCATTCGGCTCCAGATTCCCAGGTTTGTTGTCCGGGGCCTGGGCCCTCTCAAGGGGCATCTCATAGATGGTGTTCTTCTTTGGTGTATGGCATGGGTTGGATAAAATGTCTCCTTTTAGTTGAATCTGTCCAATTCCTTGACTGATAGATTCAATCTCAGTTACAATTTCTTTGACTGAAATTGCATTTTCTGAGTGAGATTGCATGAAAATGTCTGGGCTGACCAGTTCTGACATTGCCTAAGAAGAAAACATAGTGAGATGGTTATGGTGAATTGTAGTCTAATGGAAAATGCCAGATTTTCTGATTACTAAATCCTTGGATCCAGGAGAACCTTCTGGCTATGAGGACACAAATTGTGGAATGCCTGGGACTGTCCTCTGCTGAGAACTGTACTCTGACCATCTGTTTTGTTGTACAAGAGAAAAACAGATTAATCAAAGGCAGAGATACCAAATTAGTTACAGGTTGTATCACTGTCTTCTGAACTTTCTGTTCTGTTTACTCAAACAGGATGCCAATCTAATATCTTGCTCCAAAAATGAACAGCAAATAGTGTTGGAGGCTTCTAATTTTCCTAAGACCACGAGCCTTCAGAACTTAGGTCAGGCTGGGGAAATGAAATCTTTCCTCTCTGGCCTATATCAACTTCCAGTCAGAGCCTTTCCCTCGTTCGAGGGGAAGTGTTTCATTCAAGGGCTCAGTGCCCACCTTAAAACTGCCCAGTGTTAGACAAGGCAAGGTTGAGGCTATCATCTGATGTCTGATTTGGAGACTCACTGCTCTTCTCTCTTCTGCGTTGCCAGTTTTCATCCATGTCCTCCCACTTCTAGCAGCAGCAGCCCAGCACATGAGGGCACTATGTGTCTGATCACACAATTCCTAAGTTTCACATGGCTCCTCCTGGGAAATGTTTACTTGGCTTATGCAGTCACGTGCCTGAGAAAACTAAGAAACCGTGACTCACTGGCATTTTATTGTTCTACCAGTTATGAATTTCCAGTTGCATTTAGAACAAGACCCAAGAAAAATGGCCAATGCAAAATCAAGACCTTTTGTAAAAAAATAAAAATAAATAAAAAAATAAAAAAAATAAAAAAAATTAAAAAATCTGGAAATGGTCCCTGGATACTTCTTAAAGTGACATCATTATTACCATCAATCTACTTGAACATTTTTATAAGCCTTCAAAGTACAATGTTTTTCTAGTAATTGTTCTGGTCTTTCCCCTTCAAAAGAGAGTCAGAGCTAGTACAAATTAACAAGGTCAGTTATGCCTTTGGGAGAAATCTGCCGGGACATCAGGCGGAGGCAAACTTGCCAAGCCTGGGAGCGAAGCCACAGCGGGCCGCTGTGTACATGGGCTGTGGAGAGAATGCTCATATGACCAGGGACTTTACAAAAAAGCTATTTCTGTCAGAGCTGCTACACCCATTGGTCCAAAGGAGAGCACAAGCATTCAGATTTCCTAGTAGACCCAAAACAGAGGGATAGACTTTGGAGAAGACATCATACCCTCGTGTGATTAAAGAGAGAGAGAACAGCTGAATAATGGACAAGGTGGTAACTATAAGTAGACAAACATCAGGAGATGTCAGCTCCACTGAATTCATCAGGTGAGGTTTGGTATGTCAGAGTAAATTTGTCACCATTTATTTTCCAACTACTGTATTGTATGGATTAAAATGCACCCCAAATATCAAAATGAGAATAAGTGCGAGCCTTACAAATAGTGACATACAGTAATTCTTTTCCTCGTCTGCAACAGTTCTCAAGAGCTCATATGCCACTGAGAAGAATCTTGGAATTCTGTCTGCTCTCAAATCACTTCCACAAACCATCCTCAACTCCTGACTACCACGGGTCTGAGTTGAGGAACAACTCAGAAACATTATTAACAGCAAGAACTCACATGGGATTTAGGTGCTACTCCAACAACTATTTACACATGTCTAGTCTGGGAATTTTCTGAGACAGAAAGAATTTTTCCAAACAAATCCATCTTTTCAGAGACACAGTCTCACTCAGCCAGCATATGAGTCCCTGGCACTTCATTACTGGTAAGATTTGATCTGAACTTGCAGAGATCCAGGAGGGGACCACTCTTTGTTCAGTCAAGAATTTTTTTTGTTTTTTTTGTTAATCCCTTCTTCCCTCATCCCCCTTAGAAATGGCTTCCAATGACACCAAAAAACCTGAAAAGATAAATTCTTCAAAAAGCAACTGATTAAAAAAATATTTAAACCCTGTTTTTAAGGAAAGTCTCAGGAAGACTTTCTCTCCCAAACTGCCTTCCTAAATCTAGCCACATTAAAAAAAAGGTGAATATAGCAGAATCCCAAACATTTTGCCTTAGAAGAGAACATCTTAGGTGGAGAACTATAAAGAGAGCTTTTACCTTTGACTGTTCCTCATCTATTGAAGATTCTTCGGATGCATGGGGAGTGTTACTCAAGGAGCTGCTTCTCTGGTCCTCAGCTGTCACTTCAGAAGGGGCTATTTCTACCACTGACAGTCGACAGCTTTCACTCCTTCCTCCACCCAGTTCCTCCATCCTTGAGTGGGAAAAAGATCGTGACCGCGTTTCTTGAGAAAGCTCTACAAACTTCTCCAGAGCACTAAAAAAATCAATACGATCCGTACTGAAATCTGAGACGTCAGCCTGGCAGCTGGGCTGGGGGCTGGGTGACTCAGGGTCAGGGGACATGGGAAGGTCTTTCAGGCGAGATGTCAATTCTTCCATTGGCAGTAAGTGGACGTTCATGTCTGCTTTCAGTGCATCTGTCTCCAGATCTTCCACTGTGAAGTCTGGGAACTGGTTGGGCATTTCTGGGGCCTGTCCAGGTTGGATTAAGGCTTTGGATGCATGGCAGTTGTCAAGAGGGAATTTTGATTCATTGAGACAACACCCTGATGTACATCCATTGATGTCATTTAGGTTTAATTCATCTTCAATCTGTCCGGCATGAAATTCCCTAGAAGTAAACTCCAAGCAAATCACTCTTTCTTTGGTACGCAGGCCTTTCTGATTTTCATCTTGTGGGACAACATGTTCCACAAAGACAGGAGGTATGGACGGGTGACCTTCCATGGTCTTCACTTCAGCAATCTGGTCTGCTGAGGTGGTGATCTCCTTCTTGTTGAGTTCTAGCCCTGGCTTGCAGATGGGTTCATGGTGGTCTGAGAGGTCGCTATCTGAATGAGATCTCCAGAGCTTGTTATGCCGCTGTTTGCTGTGTAGGACGCACATAGGAAACACGTTAGTCTGGTCCGTGAGAACAATCAGCACCCTTCCAGGAAATCGCTCCCAGATAAGCTTACATCGCAACCTGCAAAATGCTTTGTTAATGCCCAATGGAAGGCAATAAACATGTGCTCAATTTAACTAACAGCAAAAACAAAAGCAAAGCAAAAACAACAAAAACAAATAAATGAGATCTGATTTTTTAACCTATGAGAATGACAAGAGCTAACATGGTTGCTAGCAGCTAGTGTTATTGATAGTATGGCCAAGCAAGCCCTCTCATATACCACTACTGGGAGGAATGTGAATTTTTAAGAGTGAACTCTCTGGTAATAACTCACAAAATTTAACTCTTTAATCAGCAATTTTTCCTTCAAGAATTTTTCTTGGAATATTACTAGTATAAGTGCATAGAGATATATTAAAAGGATGCTCACTGTAACGATATGGTTCTAAAACATTTGACTCCTAAAAAAGATTTATTTAAATTACAGTCCATATACCTCTATGTTATGAGGCTGGTAAAAAAAAAAAAAAAAAAAAAAAAAAGTCAGATATTTTAGTGAAATGATGTCCAAGGTATACTATTAAGCGAAAAAGCATGCTGAACACAGTTGGAATGGTCAGTTCCCATGTTAAAATAAGTATAGGAAAATATCTGGAGGAATATCTCCAAACTGGTAACAGTTCTTTTAAAGGGAAGGCGAAAATACTTTCGAGGAGGGCTTTGCTTTCTATACTCTGTATTTATAATTTTTTAAATTCTAAAATAATGAGCATGTTTAACATTCATTAATGATCAGAAAAAAACAAAAAATAAAAACCACACAAACCTAGAACAAAACAGCATTTGAGTAATACAAGGTGAAACAGTTTATGGAAGCTCATTACAAATCCTCATAACTGGGGTAAAGAGCTGATACAGGATTAATCTCTGACATGGAAGTGTGAGGAGGGTGGTAATCTTTCTTGAATTAGAAAACAAAGATGAGACTAGTAAGCCTGGCAAAAAGGTTGGTAACAGAATGGAAGACAATTAGCAGAAAGCACAGCCCCTTTCATAAGGATCTTTGGATAAAAACCATCAGGCTAAGGCGACACCTGGAAAAGCAGATGGGCCAAAGGAAGACCACACACATCCATCCATCCTTTGGTTTATTTTATGGAGGGAAGGCCTGACGTGGGAAAGCTATTTCATTTCAAACCACACTCTTGAACAAAGAAGCACAGTTCTCAAAGCTCTAGCCAAAAGGAGAAAGGTGGCCCTGTGGCTGGTCAGGATCGCCTGCCCAGGGAATAGGTCACTAAATGGCTTATGAGGGATGGTTTCCACGACTTACAAGTTGGTGAAGAGTGCCCTAACCGCAGGGTAAAATGGGCAACAGCCCAAAACAACTTATCCTGGGCTCAGGGCCACGCCTGCCTCAGAGGCCTGTAAATCTCTGCTGAGTCATGTGCCTGCACTAATGTGAACCCCTGTTTGTTCTCAAGTCTGCACCTGCTCTCAGCTCCCCGTGCCTGTCTGCTGCTTGGGTGGGGATCTTTCTGACTCAGGCCTGCACAGCAAAAGGATACTTTTCTGAGTAGGTCAATCTGTTTATGAAGGCAAGCTATAATCAATTATCAATAGTTGGGTGTAAAGCAGGGTTTTCATTCTTTCCAAGATGCAAGAACTCAGCCACCCCTAGGAGGAGACAACACATCACACATCCCAACGAGTGAGTGGCAAGCTGACTGGTTAGATCACATGTGTCAAACACAAGGCCCTCGGGCCAAATCCGTCCCGCCAGGCCTTGCAATGTGGCCCGCACCGCGCTGTCATCACTGCACTCCGCTGCGTTTCCATCACAATGACAGTTTATGACTGTTCAGTAAACCATTCGGCCTGTGATTTAGGCTGGATTTTAGATTTTGGCCCCTTCTCTGATTGAGTTCGACACCCCTAGGTTAGATAGATGAGGCCTAAGCACTGTGATCAACCCAGGCCAATGTGCTTCCCTTTCAAGTTTCTTCTTTCATATATAGACACCCTTGTTTTCTGATCTAAATATGACTATGTTCTTCTATTTCCAGCCCTCACCTATATAAGCATGTTCAAAGCTGCACGGATTCCTCTTAGCCACCATGGCAGGACAATTCCCATCATGCAAATGATTAGCAAGTCATCTCAGGGAGTTGCTCTCACCCTTCTAATAATGTGAAAGAACATCTTGTCAGTCAACAGGCAAGTGGGATGTTTTCATGTCCCCAATAACCCAATAGGTATGATTTTTAAAGTTGCCTGCAAATCCTGAAACAATCAGGAGGGAATGAGATACTGAAGTTACGCTAATAGGCACACACAGTGCATGTTGCAGAGGAACTGGCTGGCATCACTGGCCCAGCAGGATTTCTTTCTCTTCCTGGAGGAGATAATCACCAGAAAATATTGGGTCAGGGCTCTGGAATTACATTAACACCTACTTGTAAAGGAGAAAGAAAAACCCCAGTCTGAAGATAGGTCTGATTCTGCCACCTTTTTCATTTTGCAATAGGACCTGCATGGAGAGTGGTAGGCAGCTCTCTGGTATGGTCAAGATACTCACTGCCAGGGCCTTTGAAACACTGCTGCTCCATGGGCCCTTCCTGATCCTTCCCTCCACTCCCTGCCCCCTCAGGGGTTACTAACCTCTGTCCTAAATTTTGTGTTTATCATTGCCTTTCATTTCTTTTTCTTAGAGTCACCACGTTTTGTTCTTAATAATATACTGCTCAGGTTGGCATGTTTTGAAGTTTATATAAATGAAATACTGTATGTATTCTACAAGTATTTTGTTGCCTAACTCTCTGTTTTTAAGATTCATCGATGTGTGTAGCTGTAATTTCAGAGTGAAATTTATTTACCCATCCTGTTGATGAGCAGTTCTGGCTATTACAAACAATATTGCTATGGCCATTCCTGTGCCTGGCACATACTTTGGTTTCTCAAACGTTTTTATGTAAAGGAGTAGAAAGGTGGGTCACAGGGCAGGTATAAGTCAGGTTTTACCTAGAAACACCAAACTGTTTTCCAGTGAAGCTTTTTCCCGAGCCAGTTTATTTTAATGCTCTTTCACTAGTTGGAATATATGGAAGGCATTAGATCATATTTATTATTTTAAACTGTTAATATATTTTTTAAAATATATATTTTATTGATTTTTTTTACAGAAAGGAAGGGAGAGGGATAAAGAGTTAGAAACATCGATGAGAGAATCATCGATCAGCTGCCTCTTGCACACCTCCTACTGGGGATGTGCCTGCAACCAAGGTGCATGTCCTTGACCGGAATCGAACCTAGGACCTTTCAGGTCGCAGGCCGATGCTCTATCCACTGAGCCAAACCGGTTTTGGCTAAACTGTTAATATTTAAATTCAGCTGACATCCCCACCTGATTCCAGGTAGGTAGCAAGTAAACAAGTTGCCAAAAAGAAATTCAGAGCTGGTTTGTGGTCTGGATGATGCAACCAACTCCAGTTCTCTTCCACCTGGAGTGGCTTCTGACCTGGGTAAGAATTTGGCCTTTTAGCAAGTGGGTAAGAAGGAAATCTAAATGACAGGATGCACATCATAACCCATTTTCTTGTCTTACTTGCTTTCTTCCATATTGTTATATGTCTGGGAAAGTTATATAGAGGAAAATATTGCTAAAAATAGAATGTCAGTTATAGTAAAATCAGACCGTTTATGGTTATTTCTTAGGGCATTAGGCAGTCTGTAGAAATGAGAAGAAAGAGAAAAAGCTTCAATTGAGCATTTTCTGTGTGCTGTGCTTTAAGATTACTTTTCTGAAAAGCTATTAAGAAAATCTTTAAAAAGAAAAAGAAAATCCTTTAACGATGATTGTGATTGGCTGTCACCTGACCAGGACCACATCCTCTTATTCTCGGGTTCCCTCCTGCTGGCTCACCACTGGGCACCAGCTAACTAGACTTCAAAGTCTCCACCAGCAAAGCCAGGGTAAAAGACAACTCTACCTCCTCTGGCCGTGGAGACAGCGGTGTTCAAAGAATCAAAACTGACATCTATGAGGACATGTGGCACAAACTCTCCCTGGCCACCACCCAGTTTTTCTTCCTTGCCTTATACACTGAAACCCAATATCACAGACACATGGTCAGCTTGCAAAAGCCTGAAATCAGAACTTGTCTAATGGAACATAAATCTGCCAGATACCTGCATGATCAGAGTCAACAGGGCTGCTGGCTGTTCAATGGAGGATTTACACACACACACACACACACACACACACCCTCCTCCTGCCTCATTCCCCGACTATAAAAAATTAGATATGAATAATATCAGTACCTTTATGATATCCCTTAGGTCTAAGGGAGAATATTAAATATTAGCCTTCTCCAGACTCTTAAAGACACACTGAAATAGGCAAAAAATTTCTTGTATTTCAGAGGGGCTATTACTGTTTGGCCCACAGTGTCACATTCTGATTAAGAGACTGCAACCAATTCATAAATCACTTTGCTACACTTCTCTTCTACCAACCAAGAGGTAAAAGTACCAAGCTAAAAGACTCATAAAGAGTCTGCCACCTCAAGTTAAGTACCCAGTGCCACCCTGGGCCACCACGTGACTAGAGAGTGCTAGAGTCAAGGCTCTGTCTGTCTCTCTGGGAAACCACCACACACTTTCTGGGAGAAGACACGAAACACAAGAGTTAAGTTGCTGGGTAGGAAATGGAATTTCTTTGCAAATAGAATGAGTGAGATTTTTCTACGGACTGTCCTCTCCTGATTACCTAAGCTGCAAAGCTAGCCAGAGTTCCAGACAATCATAGGAGTCTGGGGCTTCTTCGCTTTTCTAAGCAAGCAGTTCCTGGAGCAGCACTCCAGGTTTGGGCAAGAATCTGCTGGGCCCAATTCTCTTGGCAGTTAGCTTGCATGTAGCCTGCAAGTGCCATTTCTGACAACACATCATAGAGTGCAGACCCTAATGGCTGCTTACCCAGCAGGCACTCCCATTGTTTCCCTCACTGGTAGAAGCCTGATTTGGTTGGGGTAGTCAATTCCCCTGGGTTCAGGGAATGCAGCACTTCCCTAGCACCAGAGCGTCAAGTGAATTTGTTTTAGCCAGCCCAGGACATTCTATTTTCCTGGCAGTGATTAGTTTTAACCACATGACCCAGTCCTGGCCAATCAGACCTGCGGAGAAGTCTATTGGGGCAGTTCTGGGAAAGGTCTCCCTGCAAAATTGAAATGCCTATTCAGCCCGATGCTGTGGAATTTACATGTAGATGTCTAAAAATGTGGCAGACATATGGCATTCATGAGGAGACAAGTTCAAGGACCAAACCATTAACCAAGGCAGGCAGACAAGAAAGATGAAGAGTATCCAAGTCTCTGATTACACCACTGAGCCACTACAGTCTAGTTCTGTGCTTCTTGTTACAAGTAATGGCACATGGTCCAACTTTTAAAAATACCTATAGCTTGGTGTTGGGCCAAATATCTTTTGTTTGCTCTTAGCTTTTCTACCCTACTCTGCCCCCAAGGAGGATCTTTGGACCACATCAACAGGCCCCTTTGCCTTCTGACTTTCACAGGTTGGGCTAATAGACACACTCAGCAGGAGATTGGAGACAGGAGAGTGAAGGCAGACCATTTTATCCATAGTTTCCTTCTGCAGGGTTACTCCAGGTTGGCTATATTCTTTTTTATTATTTTTTTATTTTTATATTTTATTGATTTTTTACAGAGAGGAAGGGAGAAGGATAGAAAGCTAGAAACATCGATGAGAAACATCCACCAGCTGCCTCCTGCACACCCCCCACTGGGGATGTGCCCGCAACCAACGTACATGCCCTTGACCGGAATCGAACCCCGGGACCCTTCAGTCCGCAGACCGATGCTCTACCACTGAGCCAAACTGGTTTCAGCTCTTTTTTATTTTTAAGGTAATATTCTTTTGTAACATTGAATTGCTTTTCATTTTATTCTTTTTAAAATATATTTTCATTGATATCAGAGAGGAAGGGAGAGTGAGAGACAGAGACAGAAACATCAATGATGAGAGAGAATCACCGATTGGCTGCCTCCTGCACACCCTCCAATGGGGACCGAGCCCGCAACCTGGGCAAGAGTCCCTGACTGGAATTGAACCCGAGTCCTTTTGGTCCGCAGGCCAATGCTCTATCCACTGAGCCAAACCAGCCAGGGAGGTTGGCTATATTCTTAATTGAAGGTGATTGCTCTTCTCTGAGGTGCCTTACTCTGAAGAAGTCTCCTTCTAGGTTCTAGTAACTGTTCCCTTCCTCTTTGGACCTCAGAGCTATTACCAATCAGCTATGCTTGATTCCACTTCAATCCCACATCTTTGTCATGTAGTCCCTCTATAAAACCCTCATCAAATAATCTTAATCTGAGTATGCATTTCTTGTTGAGATTTCAATTGATGGATATATTCTATTACTTGCAGATGAAGGCAGCCTGAGTATTCTCCTCTGCACTGGATTCTAGTTCCTAAAATCCAGGAGACATCATAGTACAGGAAATTCCAGTACCACCTGCTGCCCTTCTTTTTTTAAAAAAATATATTTTTATTGATTTCAGAAAGAAAGGGAGAGAGAAAAAGAGATAGAAACATCAGTAATGAGAGAGAATCATTGATCGGCTGCTTCCTGCACGCCTCCTACTGGGCATTGAGCTCACAACCTGGGCATGTGCTCTTGACCAAATTTAAACCTGAAACCTTTCAGTCTGCAGGCTGATGCTCTATCCACCGAGTCAAACTGGCTAGGGCTATGCTGCCCTTCTTACCCTCATTTAAGATTTTCTTGAAATTTCTTTAACACCTAAGAAAACCACATACGCTAAAAACACACACACACACAAAAAAACACACCAACCTAACAGCTTTCAGTAGCCTGGGATTCCAGAATAAATACTGAAATTGGCAGGACATATAGTATCCTTCCTCTCAATGGGTCACGTGAGGACACTGCCTAACATCCGTCGTGTGTCTGGGAATATATAATATTTATATCTCAACCAACCCTCAGATGGCTCTTTCTTGTGCCAAAAAGAACTGCTGTGTTCTACCTTCTGATCTAATCTAAAAATGTCATCAATATCTGGCCCCAAAGACCTATAAATTCTCTTTAAGTGGAGGAGACTTTCATAGCCTCCCAGCCTCCTAAGAAAATAGCTCAGATGAGATCATGCCAAGTACTGAGTAAATGGGAGGTTTTTTTTTTTTTTTTTTTTTTTTTAGTGGAAACCATAATGCTGTGCTGTGACCACATTTTCACAATACTTTGGGGGTAGAGGGTGGTCCCTCTGCCTGGATAGGCTGGAAGGCTATGTAATATTTTGTTCAAGGGAAAAACAGCCCAGATTCAAGAGTCAAGACCAAGTAATGAGACTTACTGGATTAAACTCTGGCACTAGCTCCCAATGCTTCTAGGAAGCAGTGCCTTCACCCTAACAAAACCACTGAGAACATACCTACATGGAAACAACGAAGCAAAATCTAGCACTCTACAGAACTTCAACATGTGGCATCTCTGGAAGCTGATCATTAAATCCAGCTTAATACCTGAATCGTTTCCCTCAGAGCAGCTGAAGGTGGCTTTCACCACCAAAGGGATTATAAATAATGCAGTGAAACAAATAATTCATTTTATAACCAATTATCTACTTACTGACAGAACAGCTAGTTCTGACTGGTACAAGAAGATGTTCAAGACCTTTACTGGGGACAGAGAAAGACAAATACTGTATGGTGTTACCTATTTGTGGAATCTAAAAAAGCTGAACTCAGAGAAACAGACAGTAGAATGCTGGCTACTAGGTGTAGGGGTTGGGAGAAATGGGTAGATACTTGGCCAATGGGTATAAACTTACAGTTATAAGATTGCCAAGTTCTGGAGAATCTAATGTACAGCATGGTGATAACAGCTAATACTTTATTATATACTTGAATGTTGCTAAGAGAAATATTAAATATTTTTACCACAAAAAAAAAATGTGTAAAGGGATGGAGATGTTAGCTAATGCTTTGGTGGTAAGCTGTTTGCAATGTATAAATGTATCAAATCAATACACTGTACAGCCTAAATTTACACAATACTGTCAATTATATCTGAACTAGAGGCCTGATGCACAAAATCTGTGCAAGGGGCTCGGCCCTTGCAGCCCTGGATGACTTGCAACCCCAGCTTCATCTGGAAGGATGCCAGGTCTAATTAGCATATTGTGCTTTTATTATTATAGATAGAAGATAGACCTGGGGGAAAAAGGATCAAGTGATGGTTAAGTGCAGTGTAAGTGCTCAGTATATGTTGTTAGTCGAAAGGTCAGATAATGTTAACTGTCTCTGTAAGTACTGAGTTTATAAATAATTTTCCCTTTGTATTTTTTGTTGTTACATTTTTATAAAGCATATGCAGGATGAGGCATACATAGACTTACAGTTATTTGTATACAGTGATTAATAATCTCTCTCACTCTCCTTTCCTCTATCTCTAGAATCAATGAAAAGCACATCCTCAGGTGAGCATTAAAAAACCACACCAATAGGTCCAGCTGGAGTGGCTCAGTGGTTGGGCATCAACCTAGGAACCCGGAGGTCATGCTTCAATTCCACATCGGGCACATGCTCCGGTGGCAGGCTCCATCCCCAGTAGGGGACATGAAGGAGACAGCCGATCAGTGATTCTCATCACTGATGTTCATATTCTCTCTCTCTCTCCCTCCCTCTCTCTCTCTCTCCCTTCCTCTCTATAATACAATCAATTTAAAAACATGTATTTATATATAAAACCAAGAGGACTATTTCTGGGATGCATATATATATGCATCCCAGAAATAGTTCTCTCTCTCTCTCTCTCTCTCTCTCTCTCTCTCTCTCTCTCTCTCTCTCTATATATATATATATATATATATATATATATCCCCCAATTCTGCTGATTTTGTCACATGACCAAAATTACTGGAGTGGGTTCAGTGAAATCAAGCACTGGAAAAAAAAAAAAAAAAAAAAAAAAAAGTCCGAAGTAGCAGCAGGCACTTTTATTTCTTCCTTTTTTTTTTTTTTTTTTAACAAATGGGCCAAACAAATTCTAAGAATTTCAGCTATGCCTAGAATTACCTTGGGAGCAATCAGTATCCATTTTGATAAGAGCACATCTGGCATTAGAAATTGTTGAGAAGTGGGAGGTGGAGGAGGACATAGGTGGGAAAATGGTGATGGAAGGAGACACGTAGGGTGGTGAACACACACTACAATACACAGGTGATGTGTTATGGAATTGTACACTGAAACCTATGTGATTTTGTTAACCAATATCAGCCCCAATAAACTGAATAAAAGGGGGAAAAAAGATATTGAGAAGTGTTTGTTAGAATCTATACCCAGGGGAGAACTGAAATAAGGGAATAGTATTTTCCACCCTTTAGTTTAAATTACAGGGCGAAAAATAATGTTAGTTTTGATTAAATGCTAATCTTCCATGCTAATCTCAAATGCTTATACTTATTGTGTAAAAATCTGGCTAGGGATACAATTTTTAAACATGTGACACATCCATGTTAGGCTGAGAACCAGCTACAGAGAAGGCCATCTCACTTTTCCCTAGGGATGGAAAAGCTGAGAAAGTCACACTTAAGGACCCACCTTGCCAGCAAGATCCCCTGGTACTCTTCCAGTTGTCTCATGAAGCTGGGGTTGGGCTTAGTCACTGTTCGTCTTTCCTTCACATAGTCATAGGCTCGGTCCAGATTCCAGCCATATTCCTTCATTGCATAGGCAATCACAGTGGAGGCTGAGCGACTCACCCCCATTTTGCAGTGCACAAGGCATTTAGATCCATGTTTCCTAGTTTGGGGTTTGAGGTAAGAGGAAGACACACATGGTGAGTAAAGTCGGGTCCGAAATGTTTCCAAGTTTCCTGTCCTGCCTTTCCATTTTCTTGCTATGCAATCCATCCTACCTTGTGCACTTGTGTGCATCTATAATCAATGTGCAGGGAGGGTAGGCAATTCTAGTGTACTCAAACAATATTCATTGTTAACAGTAAGCCTCTAATTCATTCAGCAAACATTTACCATGTGTAAGACAACGCACAAGGTACTATGAGGTGAAGTAACATTTTTTCCCTAAAAAGGTAGAATTCAGTGGAAGAAGCAGACAAAGTTCAAAATGGTAATTGAAATGACAGCTGGTCACAGAATGGTAGGGGAGAATTTTCAATTTAGAGACTGGACCCCCGTGGCTGATGCCAGTCCCTTCATGGCCCCAGGGCATGCTTCTTGGCAGGCGCAGGCATGCTCTTGAGTTACAGGCGTGGCAGTGATTCACCTAATTTACCCAAATGTTCTCAATTGCTTCCAGTTCAAGTTCCAGTAAGGGTTCTGACCCTGGAGGAGAGCACAAACCCAGTGAAACTAATCCTCCTCCGTATTCAGACGTAGCCCTGGATATACTTTTCACAACACCACAACCCATGTTCTGTCTAGGGACTGGCCGTACAACCCGAGGAGCTGGATGGACCATGAGATAAACGCATCATGTAGCTTTTTCAGCAAGGAGGGTGAAATACATAACTACCCCCCCCCTTTTTTTAATGGGGTGGAAAAATAAGAAAACAAAGTTACCATAAGGTGATACTAAAAAACAAACAAAACTAAACCTCTCGGTCTTAACATGCCAGAGTTTGTTTATCTTAAATATGAGCATTACTTGGTTATGCTAATTCTGCTAATAACACAATGTCTGGCACAGAATAAGCCTTCTGATATTTGCTAAATGTGTGAGCAAACTTATGGATCTGCTGATTAGATCTGTCAGCTATAAGTAGAAACAACATTTTTAAATCTGGGAAAGAATGATTACTCTTATCACTAGTGTCATGGGCTGGAATTCCTCCCAAGTAGCTATTCCAATAAATTTAAGAATGCACGTGTCAGCCTAAAAGGGGAAATCTATTCATCCACTTGCTCACTCTATTATAGTAGATAAGCTTCCTTGTTGGAGGCTTATAACTCTCCTGCTGGAGAAGGAGACACGTGAAACAGTTCAGCACCAATGCAAGGAGGCACAAGTTGAAGTGCCAAAATGAGTGAGCCAAATAAGCTATAGGAATGCAGAGAACAGTCTGGAGTAACTGAAACAACCTCAAAAGGAAGGTAAGATTGACCTCCTATCTGTCAATTACATGCAAAATGTTGGTGTCCTAAGGCTGGTGTGGTGTGTTTGTGTGTTTAGATTATCCCAAAGGACTAGGAAATACTTGTTTTGTTTATGGCGCCACAGGGTTTTCCTTCACATTACAGTGGGAAGCCAACGTGCAGTGACTCAGGTGGAGTTCAGACATGTGCTCAAATATATTCTCATCAAGCTCTGACAACTTTAATGCATAAAATTTCAGGTCTACTCCTGCAGGCATGGCAAGTATTCAAACTTGGACAATCTTAAGAAAAATGCAATTATAAAATCCACTTCCATGAAAACATTTATTCATATTGAACTAGGCTTTTTCAAAAAGTGGATGGCTTCTAACTCATGTAACAAAGGTTCTGATGTCAGTTTTCAACTAACTCAATTTACCGTATTTTTCGGACCATAAGACGCACTTTCCCCCCCCCCAGAAGTGGGGGGAAAAAGTCCCTACGTCTTATGGTCCAAATATAGCCTACACATATACTTTAAAAAAAAAGTTTTTTTACTTGCCCGGCTCTGTGTGGTCTCTGTGTGCTTGCCTGGCTCTAAAATGGTTCTAAATGCTGCTGTTTACTTTACAGGGTTGATTACATGTGTTTATGACTGTGATGTTGGGTTTTAATACACATAAAATGTTTTAGGATACTATTTGTTTCAGAATCTTTTTTTCTTCATTTCCCTTCTCTAAAAACTGGTGCGTCTTATGGTCCGGAGCGTCTTATGGTCCGAAAAATATGGTAAGTCTTCCTCTAACTCCCTGTCACCCAGTGCTGGATTGTCCAGATTGAGCCTGGTATTACAGTAGCAAACCCTAAGCTCATCCATATACAGATTCTGGAATTTAGGGCCCTGATTAGGTAAAACACATGAGGTGCTCAGTGTGTCACTCAGGAGGCACTCGCTCTCAGATGCAGGAACCTGAGAGTGAGTGCTTGCTTCAATGTAACCTGGGCACCTCATGCATCTCATTCTAATTGCAGCCCTGCTGAAATCACCCTTTCTTCTCACTGGCACTGGGGCCTCACCTTGAACTCTACTCTTTAGCTGTGACCCTGACAACTTGCCTAAACTTTTCCTTAAGGGACTAGACTATGCCTATATGATCTTGGGTTTAAGTACCATCCTCACCATTTGTTTCTTAACCTCTCTGAACCTTGTCTCTATAGTCTGTCTACATCTATACAGAAGGATGACAATATCTGCCTCTCTGGGTTTTGGAAAATATGACATGAGGAAATACACATAAAGTATCTGGCACATAGTAAGTATGCCATGGGTGGCATTATTACTGGGAATCCTATATAATAAAAGTCTAATATGCAAATTGTTTGACCGGGAGTTCAACCGCTTGCTATGACGTGCTCTGACCAGCAGGGGGTGGCACAGAGCATGGTGGGCATTGGTGACATGGCACAGGCAGCAGGTGGCAGTGGAGGTACTGCCGACCCCAATGGGCCCCAACAAGAGTGGGATGACAGGATGGTCGGCAGGTGAGCAGGCGGCGCCAGGCCAAGGTGGATGTGAGTGGAGGCTGATCGCCCTGCCGATCACCCCTGCAGATGCCAACCAGTGGCAGTGGCAGGGGGTAGGGCCCTGGACTGGGACCAAGAACTGGGGATGGGTGGTGGTGACCAACCTCCTGGGTGGGGGGCTGCGACCTTGCTGGCTACCTGGGGGCCGGGATGATGGGGATGGAGGTGTGGTGAGAATGTGGATTGTCCGCTGAGCTTGCTTTCACTCCCCCTGCTAACCTGCCCGGTTTCCATGCAGCACAGCTGGGTGGCCCAGAGGCCCATGCTGTGCCCTGGCCTGCAGAGTCTGGCTGTGTTCACTGCATCTGGGGACTCGGGTGCTGTGACTCAGGCGGAGGGGGGAGCGTGGGGGTCTGGGAGCCCAGGTGCTGCCCAGGGTCTAGAGGTCAGCTGGAGACATGCCCTTCCATGCCAGACGCTTGCACTTTGATCGCTGGCTAGGTCTAGCTCTATCTATACATATAAAAGCCTAAGTGACCGGCTGACCAGCCGGCAGCTATGCTGTGCAATGACCTCCAGGGAACAGATGTTCAACGTAGGAGCTGCCAAGGGACAGCAACTTTGCAGAGTGCCCTCTTGCACTCTGGGACCCCGCCTGGGGAATGTCGGACTGCTGGTTTTGGCCCAATCCCTGCAGGCCAGCTCAAGGGATCCCACCTGCTGGGGGGACCCTGCTCACTCCACAGACACCCTTTGAGCCCCAGCACTACCCCAGGTGTGGCCGGGGAGGGACCGAGGGAGGTTGGCTCCAGGGTGTGTCCGGCCCATCTCACCCAGTCCTGCCCCACCGGCCACTTTCTAATTAAATTTCTTTCAATGTGCATGAATCTGTGCACTGGGCCTCTAGTAATTTAATAATAGAATATAAAATGTTCTTCAAGAATATAAAGCACTCTTTTAGGTGCTGGTTAGAGACTAAGAGAATGAGCTCAAAACTAGGGTATGGGAATTTAGGTAACTAGAAGGAAGAATCCCTTAATCATGAAAGTCCTTAAGAGAAGTTTGCAATCATTCTTAAAGGAGGACTTCATAAACAGAAGTGCCTGTCACCTGCCAGGGATGATTTGAATGTGATCCCAACTAACGGAGCGTGGCCAACATGCTATGCTCCCTCTATTGAAGGCACAAATAGGATTGGCAAGGAAATCCCCAGGGACTTAAAAAACAAATGAATGAGCCTGGCCAGGTGGCTCAGTTGGTCATCTCATACATCAAAAAGCTGTGGGCTCGATTCCCCATCAGGGCACATACCTAGGTTGTGGCTTTCTTTGATCCCTGGTCAGGGCATGTAAGGGAGGCAACCAATCGATGTTTCTCTCACACATCAATGTTTCTCTCTCTCTCTCTTCCCTTCTCTCTAAAATCAGTAAGACATATAAAAAAAATGAGCGCTGACCTATTAATACTAAACACTAAATTAAAATAATTAAATAACTTCACTAAAAGGAGCAATTAAAAATTTAAATTTAAGGAAGATATCATCGAAAAGCTCAGAGAGCCGAAACCGGTTTGGCTCAGTGGATAGAGCGTCGGCCTGCGGACTGAAGGGTTCCGGGTTCGATTCCGGTCAAGGGCATGTACCTTGGTTGCGGGCACATCCCCAGTAGGGGGTGTGCAGGAGGCAGCTGATTGGTGATTCTCTCTCATCGATGTTTCTAACTCTCTCTCTCTTCCTCTCTGTAAAAAAATCAATAAAAAAAAAAGCTCAGAGAAAATTTTCACTATTTAGACTAGAGTATCATAAAAGTAAAGTAAAAAAAATGAGAAAAAATTTCCAAAGATCTTGTTTATAGAGAGGAGGACCCAGTATTCTATCTGTGTGGAATATTGTCAATTATACAACTTTAAAATGTCTCCATTGGCAACTTAAGCATTTCATTCAGAATTTCTCTCTTTTCTCATTTCTATTTCTTTAGCTGCAGCTTAAGTTTACATACTCTAATTTTGTGCCCAAATGGAACTAGCCAACATGAGATCATCTTTAAGGGATTTCATCTACTTACAGGAAAAGTATTAAGTCACTAGTCATCTTTCCCTGAGGATTAAGAAATCTCAGTCTTTAAAAAAATTTTTTTTTAAATTAATTTTTTTAAGAGAGGAAGGGAGAGGGATAGAGAGAAACATCGAAGAGAGAGAAACATTGATCAGCTGCCTCCTGCACACCCCCCACTGAGAATATGCTTGCAACCAAGGTACATGCCCTTGACCAGAATTAAACCTGGGAACCTTCAGTACACAGGCCGACGCTCTAGCCACTGAGCCAAACCAGCCAGGGCTCAGTCTTCTTTTTAAAAATTGATTTTTCAGAGAGGAAAGGAAAGAAACATTGATGTGAGACAGAAACACTGCTCAGTTGCCTCTCTTTTGCACCCTGACCAGGGATCAAACCTGTAACTTGGGTATGTGCCCTGACCGGCAATCAAACCTGCTATCTTTTGGTTCATGGGGCAACACCCAACCAGCTGAACCACAGCAGCCAGGGCTTTTTTTTCTTTACTTCCTTTTTCCGGAGTGCTCTCAGTAAGTTATCTATATCTTTCAGGCCCCGGCCATGTGTGGTGCACATGGAACAAGGGTAAGAATGTGTTCGAGACCCATTACTTACTTTGCTTTAGAGATGAATTTGTAAGTGTCATTCCAGTAAGCCAGGAGATCTGTTGCCTCTTCATCATATACCCGAATGTTATGATATTCGAAGACTCCTGGGAAGAAGTTATCTATTTCTCGAGTGACATTCAAAATATATCGCACCCTGCAAAAAAAACCAGGGGAGAAATTGGCTCTACTACTCAGGCTAAATCCAATTTCCAGCACTGCTTTTCTTATTTACAACTTTTTTACTCCCTATGCTGAAATTAAACGCCAAAATATTGAAGAAATCTAAAAAACTAAGAGGCTATACTTACTTAGTACAGAAACGGTATAACAGGATCCTGGGCCACCTGGACACCAGGGAGTTACTGGGAGAAAAGTTGTCTACGAAGTGGAACATCTAAATTCCATTTCAGTTTACGTAGTTACACAATCTCATCTTGGATAGTCTTTTGAAAACATGTCTTGTATTTTACTCAAAAGAATCAGCCTGAGGCCCATGAGAAGCAATTCCTCCTTAGTCACTAAAATTACCAGCAATATAATTTATTCTTTGGAAGTCACTTGTATTAAATTATGTATCTCAAGAAACAAACAAACAAAAAATAAAAGGAGAAATTTCCTCCTATTTTCCTAACTGCCAGATTGTCAGATTTTTCTCTCTTTCTCTCTCTAACTATGAAATGCAAATGAGGCCAGAGCTGGGAGGGTCAGAGGAAAGTTGGACTTGAAACTCTCTGAACTCTCTAGGCTGCATTCCTGGCTGCTATGGCAGCAGATGTGTCTGAGAGTTCTATACTGAGAGGCTGCAGGAAAGGGTTTCTGTATCAAGAAATTTTTCTGCTATCTGTCTCCCTGCACAATCTCAATAAAGGCTTGGGTTTAGTTTGCCAAAGGGTTATCTTTTCTCAGTGCTGTGTGAACTTAGATATCTCTGGAGTTTACTCTACCAACACAGCACGGGCTCCCTCATTTTTCTGCAGAAGCTGCTTCCTTCTCAGAACCGCATGTAGGGAGGGCTCTACAAACCCATTTCGGAAGTCAGAGAAATGACTACAGGAAGGGAGAGTCCTAGCTAACCAGTTCTGTGGTTAGGTGAGGAGACCAAAATTGTTCTGGGATATGATTTGAATCAAAGTTTATTACCAGAAACGATTTTTCTTTTTAATTTAAAAAGAAAGCACGTGCCAACTTGGGAAAGTCTAATAGTTCCCCAAAAGGTTAAACATAGAGTTACCATATGACCCAGCAATGCCTCTCCTAGGCAGAAACTCAAGAGATATGAAAACAGAAGTCCACCTAAAAGTTTGTACATTATTTTTTAAAAATATTTTATTGATTTTTTAAAGAGAGGAAGACAGAGGGAGAGTTAGAAACATTGATGAGAGAGAGTCATCGATCAGCTGCCTCCTGCACACCCCCCACCAGAGATGTGCCCGCAACCAAGGTACATGCCCTTGACCGGAATCAAACCCGAGACCTTTCAGTCTGCAGACCGATGCTCTACCACTGAGCCAAACCGGTTTCAGCTGTACATGATTATTCATCTAAGTTAGGGGTGGCGAACTCAATCAGAGAAGGGGCCAAAATCTAAAATCCAGCCTAAATCGCGGGCTGAATGGTTTACTGAACAGTCATAAACTGTCATTGTGATGGAAACGCAGTGGAGTGCAGTGATGACAGTGAGGTGCGGGCCACATTGCAAGGCCTGGCGGGACGGATTTGGCCCGCGGGCCTTGTGTTTGACACATGTGATCTAAGTTTTTAAAACAGCCAAAAAGTGGAAACAACCTAAATGTCCATCAACTGATGAATGGGTAAGTTAAATGTGGAATATTATGGAATATTATTTGGCAAGGAAAAAAGGAATGAAGTACTAATAATATATGCTATAACATTAATAACTATTGAAATATAATGTTAAGTTAAAAAAATTCTTAAAAGACCACATACTGTATGATTCCATTTACAGAATTTGAAGCGTTCAGAATAGGCGAATCTATAGAGACAGACAGATTAGTAGTTTCTAGAGGCGAAGGGAAAGAAGGGAATAGAGGCTTTCTTCTTGGGTTGAGAATATTTTAAATTGCTTGTTGCACAACTGTGAATGTACTAAAAACCACAGAAGTATACATTTTCAGTAGGTGAACTATATGGTATATGTATCATCTCTCAATAAAACTGTCAGAAAAATCCCAGCCAGTATGGTTCATCGGTGGAGCAACAACCCATGAACCAGGAGGTCACAGTTCGATTACTGGTCAGGGCACATGCCTAGGTTGTAGGCTCGATACCCAATAGGGGGCGTGCAGGAGGCAGCTGGTCAATGATTCTTTCCCATCACTGATGTTCCTATTTCTCCCTCTTCCTTCCTTTCTTCCTAAAACCAATAAAAACATAGTTTAAAAAACTGTCAGAAAGCCGAAGCCGGTTTGGCTCAGTGGTAGAGTGTCGGTTTGCGGACTGAAAGGTCCCGGGTTCGATTCCGGTCAAGGGCATGTACATTGGTTGCAGGCACATCCCCGGTAGGGGGTGTGCAAGAGGCAGCTGGTTGATGTTTCTCTCTCATCGACATTTCTAGCTCTCTAGCTCTCTCCCTTCCTCTCTGTAAAAAATCAATAAAATATATATTAAAAAAAAACTGTCAGAAAAAAAATTAGCAAGCACACTTATTTTATTTAAAATAAAAATGCATGCCTGGCCAGTGTTTCCCAGTGGTTGAGTGACAACCCATGGACCAAGAGGTCCCTGATTCAATTCCTGGTTGAGGCAAATGCCCGGGTTGTGGGCTCCCTCCCCAGTAGGGAGAGTGCAGAAGTAGAATTAGTGGGTGAAGAATTACAGTTCAGGAATCAATACCCCCAAATTGATGTTTTTCTCTCATCTATGTTTCCATCTTTCTATCCGTCTGCCTTCCCATCTCTCAAAAACATATTTTAAAAAAACTTAAAAAAAAAAGAACAACCTTCCACCTCCAATTCCAAACTCAGTAATGGATTATGGTAAATTGAGACTTTCCAATTCTTTTTATTATAGAGCTTTAAGCAGCTACTTCCAATTGGAATTGACACTCCTTGAAGTTTCTTTGCCACTCTATATGTAGTAGCACTTTTACTTGGGGCCCTAACGTCAGTAGATTAGTGAAAATAGCTTTTATGTAAAAATTACACTTGAAAAATCCCTTAAATTATCCATAGGCATGTGTTTTGGGGTATAGATCCCTGAACTGTATGTAATTCTTCACCCATTAAAGTTTAATAAATTTAAGGAGATCTAAGTTAATATCCAAATATCCAACCACACTGTCTTAAAACCTGCATTTTATAATTTAGCCTTATCAGTAGTAAATGAGATGAATAGGTCTCATCTCCAAGCCGGGGTTGTAAGTCAAAAAGTCAAAGTGTATGTATGTATTATGTGATTCCAATGCATTTCCAAGCTATATTAAATCTCAGATATCATATTAAACACTGTATCTAGGTGCTATTTTTCCATAAACCAGCCTAATATTTCTATCATTTCTTCACATTTACTGAGTATCCTATAAAGCTCTAAGCTAGGGAGATGTATGTTTTACACAAAACTAAGATAGAGTCTCTGCTTTTAAGAACTCTAGACTTAATTCTTATCAATTTAAACTTTCCAAGCTCTACTTATTTTCATATCTTAAATTAAATAACCAGATTTCCTCCCATGGAACTCTTTTTATAATTATTTGGCTTAAATCTTGCTCCAAGTTCATTTTAGCAATTATGACATACCTTCTGGGGAAAAGTAGGGAGTATGCATTTAATCATGCTAAAGATAACCAGAAGGCTGACTTGGAGCTGAGAGAACAGGCAGCCCGTAACTAGCCAGGCAGCCACCGCTCTCTGTGAGTCTCAGTGGGTCTTATCTCTGTCTGCAATGAAGAGTTAGCATAGTTGGCATGGCCAATTTCCAGACATGATTTTCTCTTCTCTTGTTGGGATGATGTGAGCTGCTAAGGCCAAGTTCAATAAAAAACTTAGGCATTAGCTAAGAAATAAAAAGGAAATAATGGCAATAGCTTTTTACTTGCTGAATGTTCACTGTGGTCTCAATTGCTACAATAAAATTCAATAACCATACAGTTTAGGTGTACATTTCCTCATACAAAGTAGGTCCTTCTTGTTCAATTTCAGAAGCTCATCCATTTTTAACCTACTTAGTCTACAAGTAACTTACCAAGTCTCATTTATCTTTGTACACTTAAAAAAAAAATCCTCACCTGAGGATGTGCTTTTAGTGATTTTTAGAGAGAGGATGGGGGAATGGGGAGAAGCATCGATCTGAGAAACATCTATCGGTTGACTCTGCTACACTCTGCTAACTGGGAATTGAACCTGCAACCTAGGAATGTGCCCTGACAGGAATCGAACCCACAACCTTTTTGGTGCATTTGCTCCAACCAACTGAGCCACCTGGCTAGGGCTTATTTATCTTTGGATCTCTAGCACCTAGCACTATGAGAGACCTACAAAAGATATTCAATAAACACTGAATGGACAGCTGTGAAACCAACATTTGCAGTTCTGCAGATTCTTAAGTAAAAATAGGGACCAAAGGTAAAACTATAGAGAGAGCAAATTTTGAATATCAGTGGTTGTCAGGGTTGGAAGTGGGAGGATAAATGGATCGAGCATAAGGAATTCTTAGGGCAGGAAAATACTCTGTAATACCATAATGATGGATAAATTAGACACTTGTCCAAAGCCATAGAATGTACAATAACCAAGAGTGAATCATAAGCTATGGGTTGGGGTGATTATGATGTCTCAATGTAGGGTCCTCAATTATAACAAATGCACCAATCTGGTGAGATACTAATAATGGGAGAGGTTATGTATGTGTTGGGGCAGGGGTATATGGCAAATCTCTGTATCTTCCCTTAAAGTTTGCTGTGAAACCTTAAACTGCTCTAAAAAAACAAACAAACAAACAAAAAAACCCCATACACACAAATTTTTTTTTTAAAGGAACTAATAACTGCATTTGCTTTTAAACAGCAGGAAAGGCTTACACATATATTTCTGAAAGCCTTACCACTGAAACAGTTGATCATTCATGGTAGGTAGGAGGATGAAACAGTGGGAGTATAGCAGTTTTAATTCTTATTAGACTGAACTTGATTAGAGTCAACAGGAAGCAACTCTAGAGCACAAAGTAACTCACTGACACCTCTGACTGGAAACGGTAAAGATAAAACAATAATGCTTACCCTCGGTTCTGTAAATCCTCTAAGTTAGAGGCATTCCATTCGGAGCCCTGTGGAACCAAAACGACAGGGTTAGGGAGCACTAGCACATGAACCAAATACCACATTTAAACAGGAGTCCTGTGAGAAAAGAAGCAGTTTCTACAAAGAACGCCAATACCATCACTGAATTTCCTCCCTGTGTGCCAGGCACTTTGTATGGTATCATGTTTAGTTTTCACAAATGATAAAGTTACCTTCATTTTTATAGATAAGAAAACCAACCCTCAGAGAATTAAAATAATTTCTGTTCAAGATCACGATGGAAAGATATTTCTGATCATTCTCCAATTTAAGTTAAATGCCTGTTATTCTTGTTTACAGTACTCTGACTTTTTCAAAAGCATGTATTGCAATTGTTGTTTGTGTATTTATTTATGTGTTTATTTACTACCTGTCTTCCACTGTAATGTAAGCTTCTCTGTTCCTTATGGAAACGCCAGTATACTGCCTGACACCTGGCAGGGATTCAATAAATATTGTTGAAAGAACAAAATGGCATCATTATGAATTAAACCTAGATTTCAGTCTAAAGCCCACACTCTTTCTAGTGCATTATGTTTCATGTAGGGAGTTGGGCTGGGGTGGGGGAAGAGAAGGAAGAGAGAGAGAGAGAGAGAGAGAGAGAGAGAGAGAGAGAGAGAGAGAGAGAGAGAGAGAGAGAGAGGGAGAGAGGAGGAGGGAAAGGGAGAGAGAGAGAGAGAGAAGTGAAATAGCAGCGTCTGTAAAAAAAAAAAAGAGGAAAACAGGAGAAACACAAAATTTAAGGAGGTTCTATAGATTATCTGGAAGATACATCAATTTTTAATATTTTGACACATTTGCTTTCTCTCTCCTCTTCCCTTTCTTTCAATATATGTCCTGTCCCCCCCCCCCCCCATGAACCATTTAAAAGTAATTTGAGCATCATTACTTCATTTCAATACTTGACCATGTATCATTTAAGAACAAAAACATTCTCTTACGTAATTCCATTTTTACAACCAAGAAAGATAACATCAATACATATCTGAATTTCAAAAATTGTCCTTAAAAATATACTTTAGCCTTGTGGGGTGTGGCTCAGAGGTTGAGTGTAGACCCATGAGCTTAGAGGTTAAGTTCAATTCCCAGTCAGGGCACATGCCTGGGTTGTGGGCTTGATCCCCAATATCGGGTATGCAGGAGGCAGCTGGTCAATGATTCTCTCTCATCATTGATGTTTCTATCTCTCTTTCCCTCTTTTCTTCTCTAAAATAAAAAAAAAAAACATATATTAAAAAAACCCCAAAAATATATTTTATATTCACTCAATCAAGAATCACACCTTGCATTTATCATAGTTGCCATATTTCTATCTCCTTTAATTTAGAACAGTCCACCCTTATCTTTATTCTCTCTTTCATAACATTAACATTTTACTAGACTATGGTTCTGTAACCTTGGGAAAATTGCCCACAATCTGGATTTTTCTGATTGTTTCCTGATAACTAGATTCAGGCCAAGTATTCTTGGCAAGAATATTACAAGGGTCATGTTTTGTACTTCCTACTGCATCAAATCATGAGGCACATACTGTCACTTTGTCCCATTATTTATCATGCTGACTTGGAATTCTTGGTAGTATCTTTATGTCTGTTACATCCTTCTATTGTAGAGTTTACTTTACAAGTAGTCATCTTTAGGTGTAAGCAATCTTGGAGGCCACGTGAATATTGTTTTGCTTTAAAGTTACTTGAGTTAAACAGAATTTAGCATTAGAAGGCTTGGGTTCAAGTCTGAAACCCCCTCCTACTGTGAGGCATTAGACAAACTACTTAACCTGTCCTCATTTTCCTTATCTATAAAATAGAACTCTCTTACACCCTCCCTCCAACATAGTTCTGTACATCTAGTGAGTACCTTCCTCCTTAGGTTACAAATATATAGTTTCTCCCAATTCCTCTGCCATGTGAGAATACAGAGAGAAGTCTGAAACTTGGAAGAGGGCCCTCACTCAACCTGCAGGCACCCTGATGCCAGACTTTCAGCCTCTAGAACTGTGAGAAATAAATTTCTGCCTTTTATAAGCCAACAAACAGTTTCTCACATATTAAAATGGGAAAACCTTCTCTTCATTCTGAATCCTCCTCTATACACTGTACTTTCTCCCTTCCCTTCATAGCCAAGTTTCACAGAAACATAATCTAACACTTCCACAGCATTATGGCTTCTGCCCTCATCATTCTTGCTAATGTTACTAATGAGTTTTCTAATTGTCTAACCCAAGGGTCACTTTTGTATCCTTATCCCTTTGGTCTTCTGTGAGTATCTGCTATGGATCATCACTCCTTCCTTATGGAATTAGATCACACTCCACAAACATCTACCCTCATGCCTGGCACAATAAAGAGAATCAACAAATGTTTGTTGAATGATTAAATGAAACAAGTATCACAATATTACAAGTGAAATGTAATTTAGCCATTTAACTGGAAGATCTCAAGGATACTGTACCGAGGTTCCAGTAAGTGATGAATAACTGAGCTTTTCTATAGAGTAGGGCTCAGCTGACTTGCTTTCCCAAAATATGGGAGGTTCTGAAGGCTTTCAGCTCAACCTTAGAAAACCAGCTCTCACACCAAAGAAAGAGGCAAGAACTACAAAGGACTTCAAGGAGAAAGAAGTCAAGTAATACTCAAGGGTTGAGTGGCTAAACTGGAACCAAGGAAATGTGATCCCTAACTCCTTAATTTAGAAACCTAAATCATCTGAGAGGAACTCTGTCCAGCTAGATGGAAATAATCCTGACATGATGGGGAAAGTCCATGATTTTTATCTACCTGTCTGAGAAAATTCAACCTGTCAATGCGAAATGACACATATCCAGAAACAAAACAAACTAAAAGCCCTGGCTACTGTTGCAGTGAAGCCTGTGCAATGTGACTTGGGCTATGGTTATGGCTTCTTCAAGTTCAACCTGAAAGAAAGAACTGGAGTCAATGTGGTGTAATTACTTTTCTGCCCTCAATGCAAATGACATTTATATTGGCCTCCTGGGGTCTTACACAGATTCAACCTCTTTGTCTCTGCTTCCCAGGCTTACAATGACTTAATTCCATGGGGATTTTCACCATGTTCTATGTAATTATGTAAAGCATTTTCTAATATTCCTGAAATGTAAAGTGAAATCCTGGGACTGTAATACATTTTTAACTAAGTTCACTTCCATCTTTTAACTCTGGGTTCCCCTACACTGTACTCGGTCCCAAAGACCCAAGTAACTGGTTCTCCCCATCCCCTCCCACTGTTATCCTCTGGAAATAGTCCTGTTTGGGTACAAATGTTCCAACCAAAATAGAATAGGAGAGTACATTTATGGCAAATAAGAAAATGTATACTGAGGTTCTCCTCAAATCAATACAACTTGACATAATTAAGGATTGGTATCCCAGGCTATATCTTTTTCATCACACCTGTAGCCTCAGCTCTGTAAGTTACATTACTGTGGCAACCAGGCACAAGATCTAACTTTATCCTATACATCTCTAGTAGAGGGATGAAAATTATGAATATGATAAAAATAGACAATTTGATTATTGTCAGACTTACTCACATATCCTCCATTTCTCTACACCTGCTGTAAAAAAATAACCGCCGATTTTAGGCTTAATTTTTCTTTGAAAAATAAATACTATTCTACAAGGATATTGTAATGTCAAATCTTGAAAAATATACCAGCAGCAAAATTCTGACTTTTTTTCCATGAACAAAATTATTGGTTGTGCGTCCAATACTCCCGTGTTTCCCTTGTTGAACTAAGAAAGCCGCCTGCCTTTCTGCAAAGGGTCTCTGTTCACATCTTGCTTTTTCTCAGCCAAATCGGCCAGCCTCCAGGAGAGCTGTTGATGTTGAGATTTGGCTGGGCAAAACTTCTAGCTCAGAGAAATAGTACACTCTTAAGGGTGTGGAAGAACTTTTTCTGGAAATAGTCTGGCTTCCAGCCAATGAATCCTCTCTTCTTGCTGCAGATTTTCTTTAAACTATGCTCTACACGTTTCCTCTTCAGACCAGCTGGACACCTTTTCAAATAAACATCTCTGTGTAGTGCAGAGCTAAACATTCTTCCAAGGGAGGGGAGAAATCCTGCTGCCTCTCTTCACACAACTACTTGCACTCCAGGCATGGCAGCTACGCACATGATAAAATGATTTTGCAGAAAATTAGCACCACCATTTGCAACTTGGATAAGACACCTTTTTTCTGTGTTAATTGCTAGGGAAGCCAGCAGAGCATAGACGCACTGGAGGAGAAGATATAGGGGGTTGGACATAGCACATGGTGGTGCAAACAAAGGGAGAAAGCCATCAGGGAAAAAGTACAATAAGATGTTTAGACAATCTGTTCACCTACTGATTTTGTTGAATAAGAGTTAAGTTTCAGGATTCTCTACTTTAAAAGATTTTTTTTCTCAAATAAAAGATTTTTTCTCTCCATTCTCTTGAAAACAGAATTGTATCTACAGCAGAATAGTTTCCTTTTTCAAAAAATAGACATTGATACATATTAAAAATGGACTGTTCTTTCTGCTTAAAGTACTCTTAAAATTTGTTTATATGTCCTAAACTATACCCTTTGAAGAGGGGGGCAGTAAGAAGAAGGTAGTTCTTGAAGGGACATGGGGAAGTCTGACTGAAATTAAACAGGTTGACCAGTCAGATATGGACTATATTTGATATTCATGTCTATATCCTTTTAGGTATAAAATCCAAGCTCAATGGAGAATTTAAGTTTATAGTGCTGGTCACTTTCTTTTCTTTCTTTCTTTCTTTCTTTCTATCTTTTTTTTTTTTAAATACTTTATTGATTTTGTACAGAGAGGAAGGGAGAGAGATAGAGAGTTGGAAACATCAATGAGAGAGAAACACTGATCGGCTGCCTCCTGCACATCCCCTACTGGGGATGTGCCCACAACCAAGGTACATGCCCTTGACCAGAATCGAACCTGGGACCTTTCAGTCCGCAGACCGACGCTCTACCACTGAGCCAAACTGGTTTCGACATGCTGGTCACTTTCAAATGTGAGCTTTTGTGGCTATGGGCACTTGCCCTTCATAAAAATGTCACCATACATGACAAATGGGGACAGGGTCCATTTGAATGAGTGACTCAGAAGTTTTCTATAGATAATACAAAAATTCTTTCCAGCAATACAAGAGCAGGGAACATCTGAAAATCCTCATGGAAGTATACATAAAAGACATCAAAGACAGATGCTTTACAAATGAAAAGGTCAATGACAGCTTTGCTGTATGATCCACATCCAGAAATAGCAATGGTCAAGTTAAAGTAATAGAAAGAAGCTCCCTTCCTAGCTTAGAGCTTTTCATGAGTAATTTCATAGCTATATACCACTATGAGTCACTCCGTAGTACTCATATTCAAACTCAAAGGCTAACATGGGCCAAATAAACGAGGCATGCTGCGAGTTTGACATGCTTGCTCTGGAGTGTCAATAAGTTAATTCAGGGCACAAGACTTGACCGCTGGGTGAAATAAACTTGAATATTCAGGGTAAGATGATCCAGTTTAGTCAGTTCCTGTGCATTTATTCTTCTCTCCTGTTTCCCAGCTTCTAATTATTTCACAGCTCACAATTGTCCTCACCAGAGAAAGAAGTGAAATTCAAACCAATCAAATTTAGTTCCTAGTTAGCATTTTTGGTCAAAGTGTGTGGGAAATGGAAACAAAAACAAGGTTTTGCCCTGGCCGGTGGCTCAGTTGGTTGGAGTGTCATCCTGTACACCAAAAAGATTTCAGGCTTGATTCTCGTCAGAGCACCTATCTAGACTGCAGGTTTGATCCGTAGGCGGGACACATAAGGGAGGCAACTGAACGATGTTGCTTCTCTCTCATCGATGTTTCTCTTTCTCTCTCTTTAAAAATCAATAAACATATCCCAGGATGAGCATAAAAACAAACAAACAAAAACCCCACAGAGGGTTTGGCATCTTTCCATTCCCCCCACCCCCAATTTTAATTATCCTAGCTAACCTTGTTCCCACTACTACGTACAGATGAAAACCAGAACTCTTTAACATTTAGGATTTTAGAAGCTTTCTCAATTTATCTCTCAGAGAGGTTCTCTTGGGCTAATTACAGGTTAATGAATGTTCAAGAACTATGAAGAACAATTTTAAATCACCAAATTTTTAGTAATCATAAAAGTATTCAGAACTCAAAATGTAGCTACAAGGTTCAAAATGCTTAAAAATCCAATAGCCTCTCACTTGCTCTGCTCAGATATATCCGACCTTAAGACACATCTGGCAGACTTGAAAGAATGACCTTAAAGCATCATCCTAGTTGGGTACACTGTAGAAAACTATTACCGACTGGTCTGTTTCTTACTTTGACTATTATGAAGAGAACAGGTGAGATATTTAATAACCCATTGGGGGGCAAGGGGATGGAGAAGAAGGCCTATCTGTAGCATTTGCCAGTTTCCTTGGTGTAAATTTTCCCACCATAGTCAATCTTATGAAATCACTGAATGAGAAATTGGGAATAGAAGAGAAGAAACTCACCATTATTTAACATCTCCACCACACAATAGACATAAATAAACGTAAGAGCACAGGTAATAGTAAAAAAATTAGAAACTGATGAGGTTTGAGTATTTATTACCTTTGTTTTTAATGTTGTTACATTTTATTTAAATATAATAAAATTTAACAGCTGCCCCTTCCCCATGAGTTGGTATGGACTATCTTTGGCACACCACTTAAACAGGCCCTAAAACTTACCAAGAACACGTGCTCAAATATCTGTGTCGGACTGTCCATCTGACCAAGAATCACTATCATTTCATTATCTATATATTCCTTGAATTCTCTCAGGTTGCAAACCATTTGCATTTCCAACTCAGTTCGTATCTGAAACAAAGATGACATATTATACTAATTTCTCTAAAGTCCCTCTGTTTTTTCACTCACTCACCATTGTTAGCCCCATACCTATCCCACTCCTATCTGGCCTTGAAACAAAGAGGACTATATGCCTTTCAGCATAACGATGATTGCTTATCTCATTTTTGATTCTTATATTTCCAGTAGGACATGATCTCACTCATCTAGGGGAAATGATGAACAACATAGATTGATGAACAAGAACAGACCCAGAGATAAGGAGCCATGGGTCAGACTATTGGACCTCAAAGGGAGGGTGGGGATAAAAGGGAGAGATCAACCGAAGGACTTATGTGCATACATATGAGCCTAATCAGTGGTCAAGGACAATAGGGAGGTGGGGGCATGAGTGGTAAGAGGTGGGGGATTGGAATGGGGAGTTGAGGACAAATATGGGATACCTTAATCAATAATTTAAAAAAAGAAAAGAAAAGAAACAATGAGGACTTAAGGTCTCTTACCTCTTTGGATGTGATATTCTCTAAATCCTTCTGCATCATAATCTCCCTTAATTTGGTTTTAATTAGTCTTTCTGTTCGCTCACGTTCAGTTGGTCTGAGAAGAGAGAAATATTGATTTTTCTTAGGCAGGAATCTAATTAAGTTAATGAATGTGCTATTTGATCATGGTTCCAAATTGACAGGTTTCTAATGGCCAGAAGAGAATAATATTTTAAAAAAGTTCTTTTCAGAATATAAATACGTAGAAATTATTACTTGAAGGTTGTACATGTCTAAAAGCCCTTAAATATATTCACATATATAGATCATGAAGAAATAAAGGCAAATAAGCTATACTGAGTATAAACTTTAACGGAGGACCACAATCCATAAGTACCACTGAGTACCACTTGCTGAGCTGGGTAGGCCAGTGATGTGACCCACTACGGAATTGGGTCTTCTGTTGCATAAAATGCCACCTAATGCTGATAATTCATTCAATGCTATGGTTTTAGAACACAGGAAAGAAGCAAGAGTGATTCCTGTCTTCTACAATGAGGCAAATTCTCTTCTAAAATGGGTTTTAAGGATTAACTACCTGGAATATTTCCATTCAAAATTCTTTCCTTTTCACAAAAGCTCTCACAATATCTTTGTGAAATGGTTTTACAGATAAAGAAAGTAAAAAGCTGGAGGGTTAAATGACATGCCAATGATCACATACACTGGCAAGAGAACCAGAACTGTCAGCCTAGTTAACACTCTACCTGCAGGATTTTGTTGCTTCCCTTAGTCTTCTGATTCTTTTAAAAATAAAATTACCCTTGGAATTTAAAAAAATATATATTTTATTGATTTTGTACAGAGAGGAAGGGAGAGAGATAGAGAGAGAGTTGGAAACAACGATGAGAGAGTCATCGATCAGCTGCCTCTTGCACACCCCCTACTGGGGATATGCCCGCAACCAAGGTACATGACCTTGACCGGAATCGGACCTGGGACCTTTCAGTCCCCAAGCCGACGCTTTATCCATTAAGCCAAACCGGTTTTGGCACCCTTGGAATTTTAATATGAAATCAAATTAGGAAGCTGATTCTCCAATTACTATACAGATATTGGTTCAATGTAACTGGATGCTTTTCTCAAAATGCATTATTTCATATTATTCAGAATGTGAGGGAGGCTGACAGACAATACTTTCTGTCTCATCTTTCCCTTCCTACCTACTCAAGAAAGGTATCTGCTCTGCACCTCCGTATTTGGAGATGGGAATGGACTAAGCCTTTAGGCATCCTGCCCACCCTTGCTGCCTACGGCCTTATCACTGGCTGCAAAAATAGCTTTAGGAATCTCCAAAGATGGATGTTTTGACCCCACAACCTTGGGGCTCCCTACCACTGGGACTTTTAGTTTTTCATGAACCCTACAGAATACAGCTAATAATTATACCCTGTCAGTCAGCCCTCAGTCTTCCTGTCTTGACTAGGACTAAAATTCTTTACCATGTTCCCTACCATTTTTCCTAGACGTGGCTAATGGTAGAGTGTCACACACTTCAGTCTTCTATTAAAAAGAAATATTGGTAAAAAAAAAGAAAAAAGTTTAGCATCTTTGTGCATGGTTTAGATTCCCTAGTTCAGCAATCTTTATCCAACTGCTTCACACTTGCTTGAGGCAGAGTGGTTTGGGAGCAGACACATGTATGTTTTAGGTTTTAATTTTAGTTCTGCTAGTGGTGTGAACTTGAACAAGTTCCTTCCTTTCTCTGAGCCTCTTTCCTTTTATATAAAATAAGGAAAGTAATAATATGTGCTTCATGAGGTTCTTATAAAGATTAAATAAGATACTTTTATGAAGAGCCTGGCATAGCACTTGACATAAACTGGAGGCACCATTCAGGTATGTTCCCTTCTTCCCCTTCCTTGGATTTTTAAATATATACTTTATTCACAGAGCATTTAAGTTCATTTGGCACACATTCTCCCTGTGTTTTGCAGCATACTTAAAAAAATATTTTTTTCTGGTCAACTTAGGGAGGAAATGGAAAAATCATTACAAGACAAATACACTTTCTCAATCTCACTGGAGAAAAATTCAGAAAATACATACAAACGCAAAAAAATAAAATCACTGAAAATCCTTCTATCAGAGTTATTAAAATATGGTGACTGACCGTTTTCAATCTTTTTTTTAATGAACAGATACATATTTGTTTATAAAATTATCTTAAAACTGGAGCTATATTATACACACTAAGAACTAATATATAATGAGCTTCTATCAAGTGCCAGGGAGTACATTTCACATTTGTGTGTGTGTGTGTGTGTGTATGTGTGTGTGTGTGTGTGTTTGGGAATGTAGAGAAATTATGGGCAATTTAATTTTCCTCTTTTGTATTATAATTTCCAAATTCCTCTAAAAAAATCATGAAAAATAAGAAGGGTTTTCTCTCTTTCATGTAAGTCTGATTCAGAATGTCCATTTTTGAGCCAGATGCAACATCCATTCCTCTGATACCCATGAACCAGCTGTAAAGCTGGAAATTAGTAACATTTCCCATGATTCTGAAAGCCAAACTAACCCTTACCTTTTTTGTTACTGTGGGATCTTTAAAGGATGAAGTCTAATGAAAAAGAGGTCCTAGTACCAGTAACACCCTTTGCAAAAACTTCCATTGCTTTTCTGACTGTTTTGTTCACACAATTCTTGGAAATTTCACCTTTTCTAGTAAAAATAATCCTCTATAATAAAAGTCTAATATGCAAATTGTCCCCTCAACTGGGAGTTCGACCAGGGGACAGGGCCTGCTGCTAGGGACCCTACTCATGCATGAAATTTGTGCACTGGGCATCTAGTTTATTATATTATTCGAATAAGCCTTTTAAAAAAAATCATGAACTATTTTTGTATTACTTTAGGAATCTGTAGACAAAGGTTTAGAAGATCAGTTAGTAAGTAGCTATTCTTTTCTCCTAGCTATAGAATACCTTGAAAATGTAGAGAGATCAACTCAGAGCAAAATAAACATCCTGATTAATTTCCAAAGCAGGAACTAAGTATGAACAAATTTCTAAAATAGTCACATAAGTTTCAACACACAGGCATAAAAAGGAAATAAACATCAGCTCCACCTTAGGCCTTTATATAACTCACAGTACACCAGGAAGATTTAATAAAATCTTAGTGAGACAGAGTTAACAAGGCAAAGGTCTTAACACAAATTATAAAATATTGAAAAAAATATCTGATCTGCACAGATATCAGGTTAGAATTAACATGAAACCTAAGTACCTAAGTATTCTTTTTAATTGACTAGAAACATCTTTTCTTTACTTTTTTTTTTTTTTTAAATCCTCACCCAAGGACATGCTTAGAGAGAGAAAGGGAGTGAGAGAGACACAGAAACATTGATGTGAGAGAAAAACATGGATTGGTTGCCTTCCGTATGTGCCCCAACCAGGGATTGAATCCGCAACCTTTCAGTGTACAGGATGACACTCAACCAACTGAGCCACTCCAGCGGGAATAGAAACAATTTAAGTATTGGAAACATCCTTTTAAAAGCTTCTCTTTGTCATTAATTTATTTACCAAATATTTCTTTCACAGACAATGCAAAGGCAGACTTTAGCTAACTCCTTTAATAAGCTCAAATTTCACATTAGTGGAATCTGAATTAATGGGATTTTATGATATTGCAGTTCTTTTCTATGCAGACTACATTGTGCCCATGAATGAAACTCCTCAGGCCTTTGCAGACAACAGAAAGAACAGGGTTCTTTATGTGGCAGTTTGTAGTGTAGACAACGACTAATATTGCTGGGTAAGATTAATTCCCCGAGAGATTGGGGAGGAACAGTGGCTTTCAGCATTCTAGAACACAACAGACAGGACTTCCATGATCCTTAGCAAAGTGACTTACATGTCAGTGAAGAGAGCTGGAGAGTCAGGCCGGTGGGACTGTACATCTTGCATGGCATTCCATTCATTGACTGATGATTGATCTGAGTTGATATGGCTCTCATAATAACTCACCCAGGTGAGAAACAGGCTGCCTGGGTAGTAGTTATGCATTCTGGCCACTTCACAAGCCTTGTGTAAACTCTGGAGTGCAGACCTGAAAGATATGCAGGGAAATGAGCACTGCAGAATTATGGGGGTATCAAAAGGCCAATAATCCATGTGCACTTCAATCTCCTCCAATTTTTAAACCCTATAGAATTTGGTCTTTGGAGATTCTACTCCCTGGAATTCAAGATTCTCTGATTCTGATTATAGTAATTATCTGGAGTAATTATGTTCATAACACTTGACTAGACATTTAGTACTAGACTTGAAAGATACAGAGTGATATTAAGGTGGGGGTAAAGGGAAACAGGAGAATTGACAACCCAACAGTAAAAAACAGGTCCAGGTACCTATGAAACTCATGACCCCAAGTTGCAATCATGCTGTGTCTATGCTATATCACCAGAGAACTAAGATGACAACCTTTGGTATAGAAAGATTTGTTTTCCTTGGCATAGATTCATGTTATAGCATACATTCTCTATTATTTTTGGAAGCACCATGAAGATCACAGATAGATGTCCCTAAACTTTTAGGATATGTTCTTGAATGTCCAGGCAGCACTGATCTTATGACGTTTAAAATTCTTGCTGCCTTAGTCTCCCAATTTCTTGAAACCATTTATTCATACACTTGAGCTACTTTCTAAGAACAGCTCTGGTTATTCTTAGACTAATTAAATCTCTGACTCTGAACTCAGGAACCCAAGAAGAGTAAACAAAACTGAAAACTACCTTTTTGGTTATATGCTTGGAAAAACTAAAGCCAGGAATTCTAGAAAGTTAGTTACACAACAGCAGGCATCTTTCTGTTTTGTTTACTGATATATCTCAAGTGTTTAAAAAATGCCTAGTTCATAATTGAAGCACAGTTAGTACTTGTTGAATGAAATGTGTTTTATTAAGCTATAAATTAATGTCTTTCCTAAGGGAAAAAAAAACATTATGAGAAAATTTTGTAGCCAACCCATTTACATTAAAAAAACAACAACAACCCCCCCCCCCCACAAAAACACACACAAAACAACACCTGATTTTAGAAAGGAAAAAGGGGGTGCGGGGGGAGGGAGGACAGAGAAGGAGAGGCAGAGGCAGAGGGAAGGGAGGGAGAGGAAAACATCTATTTGTTGTTCCACTTATTTATGCATTAATTGGTTGCTTCTTGTATGTGCCCTGACTGGAGATGGAACTCACAACATTGGCTTATTGGGATGAAGCTCCAACCAACTAAGCTATCCAGCCAAGGATACATCTTTTTCTTAAAAATGTCTTTTAATTTCTTTTTCCCTCATAATAAAAGTGATCCATGCTCACTTGGAAAAATTTAGGAACCTCAGGTAAAAGGTGGAAATATCTTGTAAAAGACAGAAATTTATTGCTAATAAAACATTTCATTCAACAAATACTAACTGCGCTCCAATTATGAACTAGGCATTCTTTTAGGCACTGTAATCTAATGGCCCAAAAATAACTACTGGTAAGGTTTTAGTATAGATTTTTCCAGACTTTTTGTCTATGCATAGATTTACAATAAATATATGACCATATTCAGCATACTATTTTAACCTGTTCTTTTATTTTACACTTCATCATCAACATCTTTCTATGCCATTAAATATTCTTCAACTAGATACATTTTAATGGTTTCATTCTTAGCAACATGGACATATAATTTAACTGATTACTCTTTTTCAGATATTTAAATTATTTCCTATTTTTTCCTATTAGAACACCAACAAACATTCTTATAGTTAAAATTTTTGTACACACCCATGATTATTACTTTAGGATACAGTCTTAGAAATAGAATTACTAGGTCAAAGGGCATGCAAAATGATAAGGCATACTGGCAAATCATTCTCCAAAAAGGCTGTTCCAGTTTATTCTCCCATCAGTAATATATAACAATATCAGTTCCATGAGACCTTGTCAACCCTATATAATGTTAATTTAAAAATAAGACCATTACCAACTTGATAAGAAAAAAAACAAAACCAGTCTATTTTTATCAGAAAAACAGACTTTTCCTTAAAAACAAGGTTGTGGAATCTTTAACCCTTTGCACTCCGCTGTCCCCTCTCAGGGGACATCGGAATTCTAGCATATCACTCGGATGTCCCCTCTCAGGGGGGGACATTGCAGTTTATTAGTGATTACGGGGAATTGAGTTAATTCAACGCACATGTCCGCCGCAAAGTAGCGTCAAGTAGCTGGTAGCCAATGTCCAGAATGGTTCGGAGTGCAAAGGGTTAATTAAATTAAAGTTAAATGCTTTACTATTATTCAAAGTAAGCCAAATTCTCAGAGAATTACCAAGCGATTCTCAGTTTCATTACACAGATTCAAAGGTAAAGCCAGCTTAGTGTAAAGCACAGGATACTCAGTGCATGTTTTCTTCATCAGGAAAACACATGCTTCAAAGCATATGCCACAAGTGCCAGGCACAAGTGCCCTAAAATACATTAAGCTTAGCCATCTCAGATACTGCAGCTGCCTACAGCAGTGGGAGGAGGGTGCAGTCACTACCTTCCTGTATAGGAAACACCTGGTCTAAATGCTGCTTTGATACACACATCTCTTTTATTTTTTTCTGTGACTTTCAGTTAACTTCTCCAAAAAAAGTGTTACACCAAAAAAAGTTTAATTTTGCAGGAAGCTAACAGAGCTGGGACTAGTCAGTATACTTTAGAACATCAAGGCTTGAACTAAGGTTACTGCTGAAACTACTGTTTTAAAAATTAAGACTGCTTTGTACTTCTCCCCAAAATAGAACTGAAAACACTGTCACTTATGGCCTTCTGCTGTTTGGTTTTACTTGGTCTCTGGGAATACATAGGTGAGTTGCTTTTAACTGAGCCCGAGTCAAAAGCAGTCATGTTTTCCATGAGAAATTTATTTGTGAAATATGCCCTAAATCTAAAAATCTGGTCTCAACAAATGACCTGAAACTCTGTCCTACTTCAATTACTCCATAAAACGATAAGACGGTTAATTGTTCAGCTGACTCTGTGTTAGGACCCCGCCCACCTAAGCCTATCAATCATGTTATTCAGGAGTAAATGATCTCCCTGGAGTCTTTTACAGGCTCTTTATTTCTTGTTTGGCTTTCATTCTGTCCATTCTGTTCCTCCTGGGGACTTCCACTACAAAACAGGCAACTGAATGAGGACCTAAAATTCAAATTCCTGACTGGGAACAGACATTATTCCTTAGTTATATTAGATCATTTTTCTGGATAATCTAGAAAAATAGAGAATAAGAGTTTATTTTGTTTAAATATAAGAGATACTTGAAGACCAGTTATACAACCTCTCTAAAACCTGTTTTCTCATTCATAACGAGGAGCTAATACTATTCTTTTGGGGAGATTATGTAATGATTATATGTAATCCATGTAAAGCACTAGGCACAATGCCTGACATCAGTAAGTAAGCTAAAAGTGTCAATATGCCAGCTGATGGTTATTATCAACTACAATTTTTTTCCAAGGCTTTATTTGCATTATGCAAACAGTTTGACAAACAATTACCAGCAATTTAAATGAAGCTTTTCTATTTACTATAAGGTAACTCCATCAATGCTATCCCTGATTACCTTAAGAAATTGAAAGCTAATGCATAGTAATAGTGTGATATTTAGACTTGGCACTAGATTGCCACTAACTTAGTCAATGTGTCCCCATAAAATTCAGTTCCAACTGACTATCTGATTCATGAAATATCTTTCAGAGTCTAAAAACACCTCTAAATATTATTTGTTTACCAATGTTCAAGGCCTCCATTGTAATTTTCAAATTAAACTTCTAAGTCATTTTTAACTATGATGGCCACACAAACAGATCACACAAAATTCTATATACACAAACAGATCGGCATTTTCAAAGAGAACTGTATCATTTCAAATACGTCTTACAACATACTGCTCTACTAACATATTAAACAACTTTCATAGATATTAAAATTCTTCTTACCACATTGCCTGCACAGATACAGGTTTGAATATGTGAATTCTGTTATCTGTTGATACGCTGAACCCTCTAAGGAAAAAAAATAAGACAAAAATCCACAAATGAGAGTGGGTTATTTCAGTTGTGAGTTTTCAAGGCTGCTTCCCTGGCTACTGGCTCAGGCACTCCATGTAGATTAGAGTACAGGACATGACTGAAAAGCTTCAACAAATTGTCTACTTTTATGTACTTAGCAGAATGAATGGACTCCCACGTTGGAGTTAGGGAATGACATACTTTTCCTGCCGTAGCTAAGGACAAACTGTTCTGCTGTATATTTCTATTTGGAAATCTTATGGGTATGTAGCAAACTTGACCCTGTTTTATAAACTGGAGCAAACATCTTGGTTTCTTGGGGACACATTCTAAAAACACCAGGGGCTGGGGTGAAAGGTCACTGGAAGGAACTGGCACAGAAAAGGGCTGACAGCTGGCAGAGGCAGCAAGAGATTATTTGAAACAGAACATATCATCTTCTGGGAAAACATTGCAACATTCCCGCATGCGCAGATTAAAGAGGGAGCCAACAAACTAGTTCCTCTTTGTTTGGATTCTTACTATAGTCAGCCTAGAAGAACAGAAGTGAGAGGCCTTGGCAAGTTGCGTTTTTACTCCACTTTACAAAACAGGAGTTTAAAAGGATTCATTGAGCTGCTGACATGACAATTCAGTTGGGCACAGTGGGCCTCCCATTCAGCTGAATGAATGGGTAATAAGACGAACCCACCCCTTGGCTTTCTGTAGGAAGATAAAAAGGGAAAGCTCTTACCCATCACCATCCAAATGAATTAGGGTGTCACTCCAGAGAGGCAGGACTAAGCCCATGGTACAAGTGCTACTGCAAGACAAGAAGTAGTCCGTAAGTCACTCTCTGTTATTCTAGGCAGTGTTCTGTTTAGTCCTTAAATATTTAACAAAGAAAACATTGACTGAGCTCCCTGTATTACTATCTTGCAAATGGCCACTGTTTAAAAAGTCAACTTCAAGAATTATTTCTAATGACAGAAGCCATTGCTGGCTGCTGAAGACCTCTGACTATGTTATTCATTCAATTTTAACCCTTTGCACTCCGCTGTCCCCTCTCAGGGGACATCGGAATTCTAGCATATCACTCGGATGTCCCCTCTCAGGGGGGACATTGCAGTTTATTAGTGATTACGGGGAATTGAGTTAATTCAACGCACGTGTCCGCCGCAAAGTAGCGTCGAGTAGCTGGTAGCCAATGTCCAGAATGGTTCGGAGTGCAAAGGGTTAATTCTGAGGTTTACATACATTTATTGAACCCCAGAATACACTAAATAGTTTAAATGGGAAAGAGAATTAAAGTATTCAAAAAAGTAACTGTTAATGGCTTGTGATGCCATTAAGAGGGACAAGAGACCCAACTTAAATAAATGCAGCAGTGCTTTGTGACTATGCACTGAACTAGCTCTGCTGAAACACAGAGTGAATAGGAATGTCCATAACCAACAACAGGGCAGCCCTGGAATGGTGTATTACAATATTATTTAAATCTCACAAGGAGGAAAGTTAACAGGTAGAGACAGGAAGCCATAGACTCCCAATTGTGTGCTCTATCATACCACCTCTCTGGACAATTGTAATCTACCCCAGATCTCTACTACTTTTTCTCCCTAAGACTACCATAAACCACTTCCCCCCTTTACCCAGTCTCCCAAAGGCTCCTATACCCTCTTCCCACCAATATATCTAGAAAAGTAGCAGGTATAGGAGAAAGAACCTTGAATGTGGGAGGTAAAACAGCAAAGTATGGTTGAGAGCACAAGCTCTCCCCCCAGCCAGTTTGGCTCAGTGAATAGAGCATCAGCCTAAGGACAGAAGAGTCCTGGATTTGATTCCAGTCAAGGGCATGCACATATCTCGGTTGCAGGCTCCCGGCCCTCGTCGGGGGCATGCAGGAGGCAACCAATTAATGTGTCTCTCTCACATCGGTCTTTCTTTCTGACTCTTTCTAAAAATCAATGGGAAAATATTCTTGGGTAAAGATTAAAAACAAAACAAAACAAAAAAACAACAACACAAACTCTGGAGCCAGATGGGCTCTGGAACCTGAGCTCTTGCACTAACTGTATATAAAATTGTAGGCAAACAATTTAATTGCTTTGTGCTCTGGTTTCCTCATCTGTAAAACTGGGATAGAAATACCATCTTCATTGGGCTGTTTTGAAAATTAAATTAGGTAACACACTAAAAATTGTGCAATAACTACTACTTATTGAGCAATTATACTATGCTGAAAGATCTGGATTTACTCTCCTTCAGTACTTCAATTCCTTTTGACAAGTTATTTAATATCTCTTCTCAGCCTTAATTTCTTCATCTGGATATGCAGGTAACAAGACCCAGCCTCATAGGGTTATCATGAAAATCTAAAATATTTAAGGTGAAACATATACATTAATGTACTGATATGTAAAACAAATGTTGACTATGAATCTGTCTGTAGTGAGTGCTCTACTACAACTGAAAGTGATTTTGAGGGAGGGGGAATAGTATAAAAACGTATTAAAAACAACACAAGGAATATCATGCTTTAACTGTTGGAGTCACTGCAGTGCTAACAAAGGCCATGCCTTCGTTGAGCTGTGCCTAATGATTTCCACTGCACTTGCTGACCTGTGTTCTCAACAGTCCACCAGTGATTCCAGAGTTCAGAAGATTCCAATCAAGATCGAAACAGCTTATCTGCATTGAAACTCTAGCCCCGAATTCCAGATGCACAGTTATCATCCCAGAGTTTGGGAGGAAGACAGCTCTGCCACTATTTTTTTATTAAGTTTATGAGTGCAAGGAAAATTTGTTTAGAAAGTCATTTCCCAAGGTGGAGTGCAATTATTTTTAGTTTTTTGTCTTTATTTTTGGTGAGTACTTAGCCAGTTCCTAGCAACAACTATAATTTGACAAATCTAGAAATTAAGCAACTACAGAAGAAGATAAAGAAGGTGAGCTTATGACCAGACACTAGTTAAATTTTGGACAGATGACCAAGATATGTAGAAACCAAACATCATGTTTTCAGCATGTATTCAGGTTAGAATGTTGTTTTTTTTGTAGTAAAAAAGCATTTTCATACAACAGGAAAGAGGCCTGAATTAGGAACATCTATATTTTTATCCAGTTTACCTTGAATCATGAGATTTTTCTCTAATATAGTTACTTATTTTATTAGATATGCACTTATTCAATTATTTATTTATTGTTAATCCTCACGCGAGCACATTTTCCCATTTATTTTAAGAGAGTGGAAGGGGTGGGGAAAGAAAGAGAGAAAAGAGAGAGAGAGAGAGAGAGAGAGAGAGAGAGAGAGAGAGGGAGAGAGAGAGAGACATTGATGTGAGAGAGACACATCAGTTGGTTGCCTTCTACACTCACTCCAACCAGGGCTGAGGAGCCTGCAACTAAGATATGTGCCCTTAACTGGAATTGAACCTGGGACCCCTCAGTTCTCAGGCCAACACTCTATCCACTGAGCCAAATTGGCTAGGGCCAACAATTTATTGAGTGTCTACATGTACCACACATTTCAAGGTGTGGGTACAAAAAATAAAACAACACAATAAGACTATATATAATAAAAGCCCAAGTGACCATTAGGGCGGAACAACCAGAATGACCGGTCGCTGTGATGCACACTGACCACCAGGGGGCAGACGCTCAATGCAGGAGCTGCCTCCTGGTGGTCAGTGCGCTTCCACAGGGGTAGCACCGCTCAGCCAGAAACGGGGCTCATGGCTGGGGAACACAGAAGCAGTGGCAGGAGCCTCTCTTGCCTCCACAGCAGCACTAAGTAGCAGCGAGTCGAGCAGTTTGGAGCGAGGGGTCCCGGACTGCAAGGGGGCACAGGCTGGGCTGAGGGACTCCCTTGTCTAGTGGACGAATTTTGTGCACCAGGCATTTAATTATTTTATAACCTTGAAATATATGAAATGGAATTTGAAAACCAAGATTATGCTGTGTGTTAAAATATTTATTATTTAAATATGATACAGTATTCAAAGAACTTGTAAATAGGCTAAAAGAAGTGCTGTAATATCGATATATCTTGAGAAATACTTGGGAAGAGGCTGTCACAGCAATCTGCATTTTACTTTGGTTTAATACTGTTCTGAAACATTAACTTTTTCTATTGTCAGATATAAAATGATACATATTCTTTCAACAGCAATTAGATAAACATGATATTAGATTATCTGAGCACTATTATTCTCAAGTAGGCAGCACTTATTGTTTAAGTAGCTCGTTCAGAAGATATATGGGAATTCATAACACCAAGTTTTCAAACACAATTAAAACCAGTTTTTATAGCTTTTCATATCGCATTTTGTTTTCCATAAACTAAAATTTTCTTTTGCTAGGTTTGATCCAGGCAGGTCTATTACTGAAGATAGATGATGTTCACTGAAGACAAAATACTGGGCAGCCATATTAATAAGCAGTCTTTGATTTTTAGAATGTTTAGGACAAAGTAAAAGAGATAACAGACATCTTATTTCTCACACTCTGAATCAGGAAAATCTGAATTTGATGCCTTCTCTCCCTAAGGGAAGACCCAAGTGAAGTTTCCATGTTTTATGGGGATTCCAAAGGAGGAGTTAGGATAAAAGAAGCAAAGGAAATAACTGGAGCAGCGCTGTCCAGCTGTACTTTCTGCAATGATGGAAATGTTCTATTTATGTCCTGTCCAATATGGTAGCCACATATAGCTAGAGTACTTCAAATGTGGCTAGTTGTAACTGAGAACTGACATTTTAATTTTATTTAATTTTAATTTATTTAAATAGTCATGTTTGGTTAGTAGCTACCATATTGGACAATACAGATCTAGAGATATAAAAACCCAAATCATAGGTCTTAAAATACTAATGAATGTAGGCAAGATTGGCGATCTTAGAGGATAAACGTTTACTGAAATGTCGGTAGCTTAGCTAACACCAGAGGTTAAAATCACACAGGAGGAACAGCTTCCTAAATGTGGCTTACAAACTTGTGTAATTTTAGAGCACACAATTAAAGGCTGTAATTGGTGTACAAGGTAACAACTCTCACCTTTGATCTTCTGAACCCACAAATCATTTCAGGTTGACTGCCACTACAAGCTCAGGTAAACACTAGTTTGAGAAACTTTATTCTGACAATGTAACCCCCACCCCCACATTAAAACAAGTAGAATCACTCCCAGTCTCCTCTTCTCTTTGTGGCTAAATTCTCCCAGGCCTGGGTCAAACCCCTAGCTACTCCACAGTTCCATTCTAGTCCTGAGCCAGGAAGTCAATGCTTTGAGACATCTGGCAGGATTTCCTGAGGCTTATTATCTAGAGCTAAAAGATCTGCTTAGCAGTCACATTCCACAGTCTTCCCAAGATTTCTCCAGAAGAGTGGGAAAATAAAAAAGAAAAGCAACAAATCTTAGAGACACAATAAAGCCAGTTTTGTGTGATGTCTATATCTTTAATCATAAGATGCAAAGTGCCACTGAAGTCAAAGGTGCATGATTATAAAAGTTTCTGTTTTGACTTTAAGGAAAAAGGAAGCAAAACATTTGATAAAAGCAAGGTGTAAGGCTATGAATAAATACAAGAGAATGGAGTTAAACCTGACTCATTGGTACAGTATCACTAAAGTAAATCATTACTGCTCAAAGACGATTGCAAAGAAAGGATAGCTCCTCCCCTCACCCTTCCTGGAGATACAAGTTTAAATCATCACCACCTAAAGATGAGAGGAAGGTAAGGAATAGTGTAAACTAGAAACACATTACTAAAGACATTCATTAAACATTTTCATCTCTCAAGATTGAGTGACTAAGATATTTTTGAGATCTTTAGTTTTAGGTATTTAACTTTAAGAGGAGCACTGCATAAGATGTTTTTGTGGTAATTCAAAAGGCAACTGGAATAGGTTATTTGTGGAACCATACCTGTCATTAGAGGAGAAATCCATTCCTAGAACGATGCTTTCTTCAGTGTCTTGTCTACCGTTGGTTGAAACCACTACCATATAACGTGTTCGATTCTGGTAAGTACTTTCTAGTCTTACAGCCTGGAGGTTAACAGACAACAAAGAAATTTAGAAGGTCAATTTTATATCATTCAACCCTTTTTACATTAGCATCTGAAAGCATACTTAGGGAGATGGCAAACCCGTAGTTAGGAGATCCACATTCAAATACCAGCTCATGTATTAACTATAAAAACTATAAATATTACTAAATTAATTAGAGGGAGATATAATAATACCTATCCTATTGGGCTTTAAGAATAATAAAATAATGCATGTACAGCACAGTGCTTGGTATACAGTAAATAAATGCTCAATAAATGTTTACAATTAGCACAATTTATAATAACAACAACAATTATCAGGTCATGTTCTAAAGATAGGGGAGTGTGAAGTTGTATGAATAGAAACACTGAACTCAGAGATTCAAATCCCATGAACAATGATAATACAAAGCAAACTATTAATATCTAAGAGGAGTTGCTCTATTGAATTCTTATAGATTATATACTATAAAATTTCTTTAGTTTCAATAACAATTGAAGGTTATATTACTTTTTATCATAAAGTTTTTATTCATTGCTTATTTGTGATATTTTAAAAGCGCCTTCAGAAAATTTGAATATGGACATGGTCTTAGATGATATTAAGGATTTGTTAGTGTGATAATGACATCAAGATCATTATCTTTTTCTTACATATCTGAAACGAAATAACATGGCATTCAAGTTTTGCTTTAAAATATTCCAATAATGGGAAGCAACTAAGATGTTCTTCAGTAGTTGAATGGACAATCTATGGTAAACCAGACAATGGAATATTATTTAGCACTAAAAGGAAATGAGCTATCAAGCCATAAAAAGACAGGGGGGAATCATAAATGCATACTACTAAGGGAAAGAAGCCAATCTGAAGAGAGTAGGTACTGTATGATTCCAACTATATGACGTTCTAGAAAAGGCAAAACTCTAGAGTCAGTAATGATCATTTGTTGCCACGGGTTAGGAGAGCACAGAGGATTTTTAAGGCAGTGAAACTACTCTGTATAATACTAAAGTGGTGGATACATATCATTGTTATTGTTTTAAAAATATTTTTATTGATTTCAGAGAGGAAGGGAGAGATAGAAATATCAAAGATGAGAGAGAATCATGGATTGGTTGCCTCCTGTACAGCCCCCATTAGGGATCGAGGTCCCCATTAGGGATTGAGCCCACAATCTGGGCATGTTCCCTTTACTGGAATCGAACCCAAGACCCTTCAGTCTGCATGTCGACGCTCTATCCACTGAGCCAAACCAGCTAGGGCTACACATCATTATTAAAACCCATAGGATGTACAATACCAAAGTGTAAATCCTAATGTAAACTATGGGCTTGGAGTTGATAATGATGAGTCAATGTAGGTCTATAAATTGTAATGAATGTACAACTCTGGTGGGGAATGAAGGTAATGGGGGAGGCTATGGGAACAGAGGGTATATAGGAAATCTCTGACAGCAAGTCCTCACTTAATATCATCAATAGCTTCTGTGACTTTAAGCAAAACAACATATAACAAAACCAATTTTACCAGGGGCTAATTGATAGAAGCAAGTTATGTTCCTGTGGCATCTCATCAATGTTGTAACAGAAAACAAGGTTGAATGAAATGACTTTAGTTGAGGACCTGCTGTACCTCCTGATCAAATCTTCTGTGAACCTAAAACTGCTCTAAAAAATAAAGTTTTGCCCTAACCGGTTTGGCTCAGTGGATGGAGCGTTGGCCTGTGGACTGAAGGGTCCCAGGTTCGATTCCAATCAAGGGCATGTACCTTGATTGCGGGCACATCCCCAGTGGGGGGTGTGCAGGAAGCGGCTGATCAATGTTTCTCTCTCATTGATGTTTCTAACTCTCTACCCCTCTCCCTTCCTCTCTGTAAAAAATCAATAAAATATATTTTTAAAAAATAAAGGTTTTCAGGTTAGGGATATGTTCATGGCATAGATTGTATGATAGTGATGGTTTAATGGTCTCTACTTATTTCCAAACTTATCAAGTTGCATACATAAAATATGTACAACTTTTTGTATTTCAATTATACTTCAATAAAGTGATTTAAAAATGTTCCAACAAAAAGAAAAAAAGGGGAACTAGATGAAAGAAATCTGGCAAAATGTTGATGGTTATTAAAGCTGTGTAATGGGTTCATGAGGATATAGTTTGTGCTTTATATATTTGAGAATCTTATTAATAAGAAGCTCAAAAAGATACTTTATAAACCTTAAAAATAAAGTAAAATCACTTCCACTCAATATTCATTCAAATATTTACTATTTATCTATTGTGTATAAATCAGAGCAGAAGTGCTGAAGATTCAAGGGTAGAGAAGAAAGAGAAATATAGTTCCTACTCTCATGGAGTGTACAGTTTAGTCCATTCTTTTTCTCTATAACAAAAAGCCAGGGAAATGAATAGAGGCAATTTCTTCTGTATAAATTAACCCCACCCACATTCCTTATCTCAGAAGAGAGAGTTCCAAAACCATTAATTGGCTCAAGACAACAAAAAATTTCTTTTTGGAATTCTTTCAGTGCTGTTCTTCTTGGAGTCTCCTTCCCCTAATTCCATCACTGGCCAGGCCAAGGGAAAAAGAGACATAATTACATAGCTCAAATGACCCATTTATCAAGGCAGAGGTGATTGTATAGATATCTTTTTGCCTCTATTCTAACACTCCTAAGAAAAGCCAGGAAGCACAAACAGCAGAAGTGGCTACATTAAAGTTTGTTTCTACTAAGAAGTGATACAAGAAGTAATGTTCACCATTCTGATTCCAAGTACACAAGGTAGAGAGCTGCACTCCTAGCTTTATGTTCTATGAATAGAGCATTTCAACCCAAATTTATGTGTGAGAAGCCAAGAGGAACTAATAGTTAAGTTGATGAAGGTCAAGCCCTAGTGTAGGGGTGTCGAACTCAATCAGAGAAGGGGCCAAAATCTAAAATCCAGCCTAAATTGCGGGCCGAATGGTTTACTGAACAGTCATAAACTGTCATTGTGATGGAAACGCAGCAGAGTGCAATGATGACAGCGAGGTGCGGGCCACATTGCAAGGCCTGGCGGGACGGATTTGGCCCGTGGGCCTTGTGTTTGACACATGTGCCCTAGTGTGTTGGGACCACGTGAGTGGTATACACAAAGAGCTATGGCTAAGAGTACATGCAACAGAGACTGGAGGCATCATGGACTCTCTGATTCTAGAGATGCTTCACAAAATATTAAATTAACCAGTAATCCAGTGCAGGTAAACTAGAGTTTCTTATAAATAAGATCTCAGATATTATTATATGTCTAAACTTGGGCTTGCCCAGGCAAGCTTTGAGCCAAATGTTCACTTTGCAGAATATGTTTGTTAGAGGCGCTTTTATCCTCTGTCAAGGCTCTGAGAATTTCTGGCAATGCTCAAATACAAATGGCATGGGAACAACTGAACTGCGGTTCTGATAATTTACCGACAGCTTCTACACCAACCAGTGGCAACTGATTAGCTAAGTTGAAGCTGATAAAAGGAAAAAAAAAATAACCTCCTTAAGTATTAACTATCATCATGCATGTTATTGGGCCAACTTAGCAGGTGGGCAGCAAGTTTCTTTGTACTGTTCAGTGCAAACACTAGTTGTCTCCTTTTATTCTTTAAAACCCTGACTCAAGTATATTTTTTCCATTGCTTTTAGACAGAGTGGAAGGGAGGAAAGGGGAAAGGAAGAGAGAGAAGAGAGAAACATTTATGTGAGGGACACATTGATTGGTTGCCAGGGATCCAACCTGCAACCCAGGTATGTGCCCTTGATCGGGAATCGAACCTGCGATCCTTTGGAGTGTGGCCAACATTGTAACCACTGAACAACACTCTATTTCTTCTTCTTTCCCTTTTTCCCTTCCTCCCTCCCTCCTTTCGTTCCTTACTTCCATCTATCTTATACAAAGCATTTCAAATGTTTGGCCCTCATGTCAACGGAACATCCCAATCCTAATGGGAAAGGCCCCAGTCATCTCATTCTGACTTGGGCCTAAATAATGGCATATCTCAGATTCACTGAATTTTAAGCTTCTTGGAAGAATAGCACTTAGAGGTCCTGGGATTTGATGACGGTATCTACAGAAATTGTTAAATTCTTACTAATGGGAAGTGTAGCTTATTTAATTAGAGGATCAGGTGCCATGACATTACTTCAATTACATCCTAATTAGAAAAATGAAATAAAATTCTTTAAAGAAAAAATTCTTCATTGTCCAAAATTCTTAAGCTTCAAAATTCTAGGTCAAGGAATTAAAAATTTTAAGAGCCAGAGCATTAAGAAAAATCAAATATTCACCATGTTTTGAGGTTCATTTCATATTTCTTTTTTGGGAGAAGATTAACAAAATATAATAATCTAATTTAATTTACTAAGCCAATCAGACAAATGTAATTTAAGGTGGTAGTTTGTACATAATAACCTAATATTAGAATTGGCAGCAATTCCAACATTTCTAGTCTCCAGGACTTAAATGAAATAAATGTCTGGAATAAGACAATTCAGATGCATCTGATTAATTAAAGTTCTCAATGAAAAGGATATTACTGAAGTTTATTCTAATTGTCCATAAAAAACAATATTTTAGATTTTTAAATTGGGCAGCAATAGCAATTGAGAAAATTATTCCAAGAAAGTTCATTTATTGACTACATTTGAAATCCTATTACAAGTTTCAGGTGAACTGGATCCAGCAATCCTAGGACTGAGGTAGGTCTGAGAAGTAATGTGCTTTTGCTTTATTTCTGAGGCAAGAACCCAACCTATTTTCAAAGTTTATCTATAAAGAGTGACGTTAAAACTTCCCTTAGTAACTAAATTTAAATGTATCTGATTACATCAGTTCAAAACTACCATCTGATCCAATAACTTATCTCCTCAGCATCATCCAACATCAGGAAATACTCCTCCCTAAGCTACCCGGTACCTTTCCTTTTAATTTTTTTTCCCACCAAGAGTCTAACATCATGTCCCTGCATGCAATGTTTACCTGCAGGAAGCCACGGTATAAAGTCCCAGTGTCTAGACAGGCAGCTCACCCAATCCATTAGAGAAAGGTTTCAAAAGTATGTAAATATTACATTCTTGCCAAAAGAACAAAGCAAAGTCAATATCGAAAATTAAAGGAGACTTTATGTGACACTAATAAACTAGAAAACACTGAATTCAAAAGTAATACAGCTGGAGGGAGACTCTGGATATTATTTTTTAAAAATCTATCTTTATGAAATTCTTGAAGAAGAAATATTCTGTGTAGCTATTTAAAAGTTTTATTTACTGACAAGGAAAAATATCCAGATCAAGTGTGAAGAAAGATTATAAACAGCACTTGTATTTTCATCTATTTTTGTAAAAAAACAACAACTCTCTCTGGCATACTTTTGCTTAGAACTATTAAGTCTTTCATTTCATATACCGCCCCCAGTCTCATTCATTCATTAACAAGTGCTCAGTTATCCACTGTCACTTTTATAAACACACACCCGTATCCACTCGCGCATAACCCTTTGACCCACTCCCCCCAGACATAAGCCCTTATTATCTTACATTACTTTATACTTTTGATTTTTAGAATTACAGAGATAATGCTTTAGATAGACTAGAAGGTTTTCGGATGCCCAGATTTGGCTATTTTCATCACTGTCCACCTCAATAAGAACAATTCTCAGAATCAATCTCAATCTCAATCTCTCTCTCTCTCTCTCTCTCTCTCTCTCTCTCTCTCTCTCTCTCTCTCTCTCTCACACACACACACACACACGACTAGAAGGGTACTTATCCAAATAGCTAAGAATGTTTTTTAAAAATTGTTAAAAAAAAAAAACTTATTTTCTGCCAAGATCGGTTTGGCTCAGTGGATAGAGCGTCAGCCTGTGGATTGAAAGGTCCCGGGTTCGATTCCAGCCAAGGGCATGTGCCTTGGTTGCGGGCACATCCCCAGTGGGGGGTGTGCAAGAGGCAGCTGATCGATGTTCCTCTCTCGTCCATGTTTCTAACTCTCTATCTCTCTCCCTTTCTCTCTGTAAAAAAAATCAATAAAATATATTTTTTAAAAAAATCCGAAAACCAAAAAACAAACAAAAAACACACACAAAAAACTCATTTTCTTAAACTCTCCTGCAAAGTACTCAAAAACACCTCCTTATACCTTATCAGCACACTTCAGCTCTAGTTAAAAATATTAGCTGATGTTATTTCAAATGTTAGAAAAGTCCTTAAGTTCCAAGTCTATTTTTTTAAATAAATAAATGGGTATTTGATAATGTGCAACCGTACTATATATAAATCACTGTCTTTATTGTACCAGCTATGGTCTTCCTAAGTACTAAAGTTAATGCTTGAAACTATTTTGAAAGCAGGATTCTCTGGAGAAAAAATTTAACCCTATTTTTAATGCTGAAGCAAAATGTGGGATTTGGTAACTCTATTTGTTTTTGAGTTATTAAAAAATTAAAGGCAGGGCTTTCAGTTGACTATCAAACTTTTAACCTTATGCCCAAGTCCCAGAATGAGAGTTTTAGCATTCCAAATTTAACTCAAAACAAAAGGCTTTGCTTTGAGTCTACAAACGCTCCTTTCAGTTAGAAAAGTGCTAATTTGTCCAAAGCACACAATGTATTCACTCATTTTCTTGAAGATGACTCACACAATAATCTGAAACATAATGACTATGTGTTTGTAACAATTCAAACAACTGCAAAAAGGCTTGTCATTTGAACTCTGAATTAATTCAGAGGCATCAGTTATATTTCCCGAATTTACATTTTAGATATGCAAAGCAGCTGAAGCTGCATATTTTAGCAAGGAAATAAAAAAATTTAATTGTTAATTCTACCTTCCTAATTGCTCCCTTAATGTTCTCCCATGTCTCTTATTGTTAAAATTATTTTGACATTTACTAGTAGAGGTGCAATCCAAACTCCGTAGGTTATTAATGAGAAAAAGTTAGCGACAGATGTCAGATTTAGCTCTACCAAACCACACAAGTTTTGGAAACTATCAACCAATATCTATTGGACACATGATATATGCAAATAGCCATTATTATGGGTAACTCAGCAGGTAGAGTCCAGCAAGCAGCAGTTTCACAAGACCCTGCAGGTGATTCTGCTGTACTCTAAAGTTGCAGTATCACTATTTTTAGTAATGCTGTAAGAACTGCATTCCACTTTGTTCATTTATTTAAGACAACATATGTCAAGAAATATAGAAAAAAATCTATAATATAGAAAAGTGTATAAATGTTACTTTAGTATTAGAATATAAAATAATTACGAGAGGATTTTTTATTTCAATTCCTTTAAATTACTTTTTCAACAAAAATTAGTGGCTATGTCAAGGTGATAGAGGCAGCAATTGAGAAGAAAAAAAAGACATAGTTTAAACAAATAATAATTAAGTGAATAAAGAATCAGTAATTACCATAGAATTCAGAGGCCTGATCATCATAAGAATAATTTTCTAGTCATTCTTATATTCTACTCATTATTTCTCTTTCCAGAGAGAAGCAGAGATCAAATACTTGAACTTGACATGTCTATGGAAACCCAATTTTCAAGTTACCCGCCTAAACTGGAAGAGTTATCATCATACACCTGGATTATTACCATAACTACCCGGCAGGTCTCCCTAATTTAAGATGTCCCCCTCCTCCCCTTTATTCTGTATTTGCTTCTGAAGAATTTTTCTTAAATACTGTAGCTCTCCCAGTAATTCCTTGGCTTAGAAACCTATAATGCTTTACTACTGCTTACTGAAGAGGTAGAGGTGCCACCTCCAAGTATTAATCTAGACTAGGCTTAAATAGGGAATCTGAGTGAAGTAGGCCATGTGAATATTAAGTGTGTAGAACAACTTATTACTTTCCACAAAGAAACATGCTCATCCCATTTTTGTTTTCCTACCTCTATGAGATGTTTTACTATAAAAAAACAGCGAAGCAATGACGACAAAGGGTGACACATGGCTTTGCTGTCCAGGAGACAATAGTATAGTGGAGATTATGGTAGATTAAGAATCCAGGCCACACCAATGCTCTCCCTTCCACCAGGTCTAGTCAAGTTTGGCATATGACAACAGGTTTCAGTGTTGCCAGAATATTAAAGAAAAGTCTCAAGTCTGGATTTTTTATGTAAAACCACCCAACTTTAAAATTCTGGCTGAGATTGAACAAACAAACCCTAAACAAGGAAGCAGTCCAAACAAAACACATCTCCGGCCTATGGACTGGGGTTTGAGACCTTTAGTTCGGAGCATGAAGTCCCTATCTGCCTGCCTATTTCTGGTATCTTCCCTATAGTAACAATAATCCCCCTATTTAGGTAGCATTTTATACTCAGTAATGCTTTCACATCCATTTGAATCTCTACACCGTGAAAGAAGATGGAGAGCAGGCACGGACAGGCTAAGCAACTTGTCCAACGACAGATGAGTAGTAAAAACTAGAGCCCAGGTCTCCCAGCTCTGAGACCAGCATGAAACCTCGGCCATTGCACTCTCATCTTGTCTCTTTCTAGTGTGCTTTTGCTTCAGTTGTGTCCTCATCTAGAATGAAGGTCTCCTTTCTTCTTACAATCTAAGTCAAGACTCAGCTCAAGCTCCAAGTTTCCTCTTTTCAGAACTTTAATTGTTATGGTCAATAACGTACAAACTGGTATTCACCAAGTCTTGAATCATCAAATTATTTCACATCATTTCACTTTAGTTCATATCCTCAATTATATTCTACGCTCTTTGATAATAGGGACATGCCATTCTTTTCTTTCCATGGAATTCCCAGTACTGTGCTAGGACATAAAAATGACTGCATAAAGTTCGATGTACTGGACAGTCTTTTGAGAACGAGAGTTATAGGGATACACTAACTTACCAGCCTGATGTTGTCTTCTGGGCGGAGTAATATGAACATTGCTTGGAGGTGCTGTTGGAGATCACCTGGTGAAATTTACAAAACAAAAAAGTAATTATTCTCTATTGCAGTGTCAACATCTACTCTAAGGACGTGTAAAAGTTTTGGTTCACTGAAGGACTATAGTTATATTGACTTTTAGCCTATACTACGGTAACCCTTGTTTGTGTTTGTCCTATGGAAGGGACACTTGAAACCAGTCTCCCTTTTGTACTGTGGAGGATGCTGATGAGAGTGGGGGTGTGAAATCTCCTGGGCAAAGGCAGTACTGGCTGTACTTTCAAACCCACAAGAAGGTACCAGTGAAGGAATCTTGCCATTCTTATTTCTTCATCAATAATCTCCAGTTGCACTTAACCTAAGAAGATGTTCGGATTTCCCCCTAGAATAATGTCAACAGTTTAAAATTATTTCCACATTAATGGCTGACATTAAATAAAAGTACTTATTAAATATAGTAGATCCCAAGGAATGTATATCTACTGAACATATTAAGCATTTTAAAATGGCCAACTATTATTTGAATCTTCATTTGTTCTTATATATCCTATAAAACAAAGTTGAAATTTTTTTGTATTAAACTATTATAGGTTATCTCATATTCTCTATTCTGTACTAGGAATCTGAGGCTTTAGATATTAGGAGATAATAAGATAATGTACTATCATAAATTAATACAATCAGAGGAGAAAAACTTCATTCCTGCCCATCCAGGTCCACTTCTTTTTTAAGTCCAATGTGATAAGAAAGTGTTTGGATATTTTAAATGAAGCCCAGATAAGGAATTCTAACTAGTGTAAGAAACATGCATAAGAAAGTACAATTAGACATAATAAGCCCTTGATCTGCTCTCAATTCTGCCATCATCTTTCAGTCACTGTGAGGTCAGCCAAGACAGCTCTAGCTTATGTGAAGGTCTTGTTTTGTAAGCTGTGTTTACACCCACACTGCCTCATCTGTTCTGGTCTGGATTACAAATCAAGCCCATTCAGTTTGTGTCCAATCTGCTTTTCTTTTTAGTATGGGGAAAGCTAAGTGAACAAGGTCAAGTAGAAACCTGGGTGGCAGTTGAGTGTGGAAGCTTGGTGAAAGAAAAAGGCCAACCAGGGCCAGGATCTTAGAAAGCCAGCAACCCCACTTCTTATTACATGCCACAGAGCAATCTGCCTAACATCTTAGTCAAACAAGCTGGATTTAAACCAATATTTTGTCTTCTCTTTACTGTAAGTGATAAAAAGAAATACAAAGCTTAGCTGGGTCTACTTCCTCTGTGCATTTAGTTTCGGGGGGAAGTGTCTTCCTCCTACCCCTCTTCTTGTGGTGGGCACTGAAGAGGAAGGTTTTAGAAAATGTAATCCAAAGCTAATGTTTCAAGAGTTTTTTCCCCTTTATTCTTTTAAAAAATGTCCATGATGAAGAATTGTGGTAGGAGAATAATCCAATGAGATGAGTTATAATCCTGAGCTGCTACATTTATAACTAGATGAAGGTTCAAATAAGAAGTAGGACAGCCACTAAAACAGCTGAGATTATTTGGACTGGAGCTAAACTCAACTACTGGCTTATGGGATACAGTATTTCTGGCTTTCACCTCTGACCTACACACTCAAGATTTACAGTCTTCTTTGTTCTCTTCCTGGTAATTCCAATATATTTCACTCCTTGAGGTAACATATCAAAGTGGCACATTTATAACAATAAGTGTTCACTCTTTGAACAGCACTGATTAGGATTTTTCAATTACTATCCTCAGGTTGACTTTTATTTTCCTCCCAAATGACATAAACAAGGCTTGCTGTCAGAAGAAAGGCTTACACTATCTTCCTAAACCTAGAGGTAGCCTATGCCTAAAGACCATTTTCCCTAGATGCACTTTCGCTGATTCTTTCTTATCTTTATCAGCACAATTACACCTGACTTTAGAGAAATCCAACATATGGAAATATAAATGCATGTAACTACTATTAATATTAGCAGGTGTGATATTGTGATTTATAAAAAATACATATTTGGTCTTGCACAGAGCTCCAAAAACCCTTAGAATTTCTGAAGTTGAGGAGAGCAATCATGGTGTCTTTTGTTATGTTAATGATACAACTTTTGGAACATATTTAAGCATGGAGGCTGGTTGCCAGGGGACAGGGAAAGAAGAAAAAGCTTGAGAGGGGAGGGTTGGAGGTTGACTAGATCACCACTGGACAATAATTTATCTCAATTATGCCTATGTAATAAAGCCTCCATAAAAACCCAAAGGAGTGAGTTCAGAGAGCTTTCATATTGGTGAACACATGGAGATTTGGGGTGAATGATACATTTAAAGAAAGCTTAGAAATGCTGTACCCATTCCCACATATCTTGCTCTATGCACTTCTTCCATCTGGCTATTCCTGAGTTATATCCTTTTATAATAAGTTTCTCTGAGTAATGTGAGCTGCTGGAAAAAAAACCGAACCCAAGAAGGAATCATTGGAAACTTCAATTCAGAGACAACCTGGACATCTGAAATGGGGAGCAAGAAGTTTTGAACAACTGGGCTGGGATCTGAGCTGTCTGACAGTGTCAGAATTCAGTTGAATCTGGTGTCCTAAAATTGCATGGATGTGTGTAGGAAAAAACCTCAAATTGGAATAGGAAGCAGTATGCTAGCAGGTTATTCAAAATCAGATTATTATATCCATATCTAGGTAAACTTTATTTGACGACTTATTGTTCTAATAAAAGTCCTCTGAGTTAAGTTCCCAGTTTTTTTTTAGTGCACACACAACCAAGAAATATACTCTAGTACTTAACTAGTATTTTCAATGTGATTTACTAACTTGATATCACAGCAGTGACACTGAGCTTATTTATCTCAGTATATATTCTTTCTTTCTATCTATCTATCTATCTATCTATCTATCTATCTATCTATATCTATCTATGAATGAATAAATGAATGAATTATATCATTTTCCATATAGCATCAATAGAGTGTAGACAAGAAAAAGAAATGTGATCTTTGGTTACTTGAAATGATTTTGCATAGGATTCAAGGAAACATCTGAACATCTTTTAGTTATCAAAACCTTAATTGAGAAGTCATATAGACTTTACTAGAGTATTTTTGTACCTCATTATTTTTCCAACAAATATTTATTGAACATCTATGAAATGTATAAGGCATTCTGCTAAGTGTCACAAAAATGGTCTCAGAGTTAAAGAAAAGTGAGATTAGCACAGTGGAAAGCTTTCTTTCACTACTACAGAAATGTTGGAGAAATGGGGATGAGGTAGCCAACCTTTTAGAACAAAAGAATCAAAGAAACCAAGAAAGGAATGGATTATGTTGAGCTTTACCTGCATGCTTGTTGCGTCTGTGGCTGATTCTTGGTGTGGATGAGCCATTTCCCCGTGGTAGAAAAAGGGCAGCACCTTTGACAGTGAGAAAGCTCTCGCTGATGCTACAAAAACAAACAAACAAACAAGTAAATAATCAAAGACTAAGATGGAGACCCACTTTGAAATTATTTTCTCTTCCCTAATCCAAAGTCCCAACTTCATGGTATGAAGTAAAAATAAAATCAAAAGAGACCATAGTTATTCATACAGTTCTGCCTACATAATTTTTATGAAACAGACTTAATATATTCCATATACATTACATGATAGCAGTTAAGAGTGAAGACTCTGGAAACATAAAAAGGTAAAGGTTCTGTAACCAGATTGCCTAGATTTGAATCCTGGTTCTGCTACTTCTTACCTGAGTGAATTTTTTTGGGTCTAAATTCTATTATCCATAAAACAGAAAATAAAATAAGAATGTTGTGAGGAGTCAATAAGACTACAGCTTTTTTTTTTTTTTTTTTTTAATATATTTTATTGATTTTTTACAGAGAGGAAGAGAGAAGGATAGAGAGTTAGAAACATAGATGAGAGAGAATCATCAATCAGATGCCTCCTGCACCACCCCTACTGGGGATGTGCCCACAACCAAGGTACATGCCCTTGACCGGAATCGAACCCGGGACCTTTCAGTCCCCAGGCCGACGCTCTATCCACTGAGCCAAGCCGGTTTCAGCAGACTACAGCTTCTTAAGAGTGGTGCCTTTAGTAAAGATTAGTTACTATTATTAGACATACTAGAGGCTCAGTGCATGAAATTCATGCAAGGGGGTTGGGGTGTCCCTCATCGCAGCCTGCATCTTCTCCAATCTGGGACCCCTTGAGGGATGTCTGACATTCCTCTCACAATCCAGGACTGCTAACTCCCAACTGCTTGCCTGCCTGCCTGCCTGATTATCCCTAACCACTCCCCTGTCAGCCTGATCAATGCCTAACTGCTCCCCTGTTAGCCGGATTGTCCCTAACTGCCCTCCCCTACAGGCCCCGTCACCCCTAATTGCTCTCCGCTGCCAGCCTGGTCCCCTCCGACTGCCCTCCCTGCTGGCTTGATTGCCCACAACTACCCTCCCCTACTGGCCATCTTGTAGTGGCCATCTTGTGTCCACATGGGAGCAACCATCTTTGACCACATGGAGGGCAGCCATTTTGTGTGTTGGAGTGATGGTTAATTTGCATATTACTCTTTTATTAGACAGGATACTGTCTACTCTACATTTCCACTTGGAAAAGTAACTGGCTTCTCAAACTTACATTGCCAAAACTAATCTCTAAGGGCCCTCGTGAACCTGATCCCTAACCTCATCCACCCAAGTTGTCTGAGTCAAATATATAACAGTTATTACTGGTTTCTCTTTTTTCCTATAATAATATTTATGTAACCCATCAGAAAAACCCATGAACTTTCTTTTCTTTTTTTATTTTCTTTTCTTTTTTTGGGGTGACTTTTTCCTCCAAGAGGAAAGTTTCTTTTTTAAAAAATTTATTTTTTAATTAATTAATTAATTAATTAATTAATTTTTTTATCAAATTATTATATGTGTACATATTGAACTTTACTTTTAAATCATTCTTGAAACTGTCCACTTAATTCCACTAATACTCTAACAATGAAAGGTCCATGGCACCATCATTTTTCACCTAGACTGCTGTAAAAAAAAAAACACACACCCATGTTCTCATACATTTCAGCTTTAATTCATGGCAAAGTTTTTTTCTTTTTTCTGGTTAATTGTCACCTGAGGAAATTTTTTCCATTGATTTTTAGGGGAGCTGGGGGAGGAGAAACATCAATGTGAGAGAGACACATTCATGGGTTGCCTCCCACATGTGCCCCAACTAGGGGCTTGGAATCAAACCTTCAACCCAGGCAACATGCTCTTGACCAGGAATCAAACCCAAGATCCTTCAGGATGTGAGCTGATGCTCTAACCACTAAGCCCCAGCCAGGACTAACCTTGTTTATTTTATCATTCTCCTTGTACTTGAAGTGAAACTAATACCAGTCCTTATGTCAACATAAAGCCTCTTAAATGGTCTGTTCCCAACCACCTTGCACTGCTACTATCCACTTACCAAAGAGCAACCAGAGTGATTTAAAATATATAGATCTGTATTTATAGATATATATTACATAATATCATGTCCTTGCTCAACACCCTCCAATGGCTTCCCTTTGTACGTAAAATAAAAGCAAAAATCTTTAGCTTGGACTTCAAGGCTGTGTAACATCCGGTAAGTTACTTCTCTGATCTTGTTCCATCTCCCCTTTTGTTTACTATGATCTAGTTGCACTGCCTTCTGCTTCTTCTATATTTCAGCCTCCTTCTCAGGGCCTTTGTGATTTTTGTTTTCTACTTGGGACACATTTCCATTGGTCTGCCACACTAAGTCATAGCTCCAGTATCATCATCTTCCCCCCATCTCAATCATTCTCTATCCTGTTTCTGTTTTGTTTCCTTTAAATATTTATCATAGGCTAAAATTATATTTGTTCATTTGTATACTTGATTGCAGTTATCTCCCTATAACAGAATATAAGCTCCATTAAGAGCAAGGATTTTATTTTGGTCTGCAACACTGGAAATAGTGCCAAGCACATATTAGGTGTTCAGTATTTGATGGATGAATTCATTAACTCCCCCCCCCCCCCCGTTATGTCTATTACATCACTGCAGCAGGAACTGTAATTAAAAACAAAAATAGAAATTCTGGCCCTAACCGGTTTATCTCAGTGGATAGAGTGTCAGCCTGCAGATTGAAGGGTCCTAGGTTTGATTCCGATCAAGGGCATGTATCTTGGTTGCGGGCACATCCCCAGTAGGGGGTGTGCAGGAGGCAGCTGATCGATGTTTCTCTCTCATTGATGTTTCTAACTCTATCCTTTTCCCTTCTTTTCTGTAAAAAAAATCAATAAAATACATTTTAAAAAAGAAACATATTACAGAAATTTTGTATTCTCACATAAACAAACTGAAAGATAAATCACATGATCATATCAATTGATGCAGAAAAAGCATTCAACAAAATCCAACACCCATTAAAAATTTTTTTTTAAAAAAAATTGATTTCAGAGAGGAAGGTAGCAGGGGAGAGAGATAGAAACATCAGTGCCAGGGTTGGGGGCTCGATCTCCAGTAGGGGACGTGCAGGAAGTCGCCAATCAATGATTCTCTCTCATCACTGATGTTTCTGTCTTTCTCTCTCACCGTTTCTCTCTAAAATTAATAAAAGTATATTTTAAAAACCCACAATAGCATATTTCATAGATCTAGAACAAGTACTCTAAAAATTTACATGGAACAAAAAAAGACCCCAAATAGCCTCAGTAATCTTAAGAAAGAAGAATAAAGTTGGTGGGATGACAATAGTGGGTATCAAGTGATCCTACAAAGCCACTACTAATTACCGTATTTTTCGGACCATAAGACGCACTTTTCCCCCCAGAAGTGGGGGGAAAAAGTCCCTGCGTCTTATGGTCCAAATATAGCCTACACATATACTTTAAAAAAAAAGTTTTTTTTACTTGCCCGGCTCTGTGTGGTCTCTGTGTGCTTGCCCGGCTCTAAAATGGTTCTAAATGCTGCTGTTTACTTTACAGGGTTGATTACATGTGTTTATGACTGTGATGTTGGGTTTCAATGCACATAAAATATTTTAGGACACTATTTGTTTCAGAATCTTTTTTTCTTCATTTCCCTTCTCTAAAAACTGGTGCGTCTTATGGTCCGGAGCGTCTTATGGTCCGAAAAATACGGTAACAGCCTGGTAAAGGCACAAGAACAGGCATATAGATCAATGTAACAGAACAGAGAAACTAGAATTGACTCAAGCCATTATGTTCAATTAATATTTGACGATGGAGGCAAGAGCATACAATGGAGTAAAGACAGTCTCTTCAAAAAATGGTGTTGGGGAAATAGGACAGGTACATGCAAAAAAAAAAAAAATGAAACTAGTCCAACTTACACCATACATAAGAATAAATTCAAAATAGATAAAAGACTTAAATGTAAGCTGTGAAATCATAAAAATCATAAAAGAAACCATCGGCAGCAAAATCTCAGACATCTCATGTAGTAGAATTTGCATAGATATATCACTTAGGGGAAGAGAAACAAAGGAAAAAATAAGCAAACAGAATTACATAAAAATAAAAAGCTTCTGCACAGCAAAAGAAACCAGCATCAAAATGACAAGGGAACCTACTGTATGGAAGAACATATTTTGCCAATGATACATCTGATAAGGAGTTAATTTCCAAAATATATAAAGTACTCATACAACTCAACAAAAGGAAGATAAACAACCCAGTTAAAAAATGGGTAGAGGACCTGAATAGACACTTCTTCAAATAGGACATACAAATGGCCAAAAGACATGAAAAATGCTCAATGTCACTAATTATCAGAGAGATGCAAAAATTAAAACAACAATGAGGCACCACCTCACACCTGCCAGAATGGCTACCATCAATAAATCAACAGGATGAGGATGTGGAGAAAAAGGAACTCTAGTACACTGCTGGTGGGAATGCAGACTGATGCAGCCATTATTAAAAAGAGTGCGGAGTTTCCTCAAAAATTAAAAATGGAAGTGCCATTTGACCCAGTGATCTCATTTCTAGGAATATATCCTAAGAAGCCTAAAACACCAGTCAGAAAGAATATATACATCCCTATGTTCACAGCAGCATAATTTATAGTAGCTAAGATGGGGAAACAGCTCAAATGCTTATTAGTAGATGAATGGATAAAAAAACTGTGGCACATTTACACAATGGGAATACTATGCAGCTGTAAAAAAGAAGGATCTCTTACCCTCTGAGACAGCATGGAGAGACCTGGAGAGTATTATACTAAGTGAAATAATTCAGACAAGTATCACATGATCTCACTTATATGTGGATCTAATGAACAAAATAAACTGACAAACAAAATAGATCCAGAGACATTAAAGCATGCAACATTGGCATACTTCAGAGGGAAGGGGGGTGGGGAGGGTGGGAAGAGATTAACCAAACAACTTATATGCGTACTAGTATATGCATAACCCATGTACAC